CTAGGATATTTCATGTGCTTGCCTAAGTCAACAAGATAGATATATTCTGGGAGCCACTAAAAATGAAGTCATAAGTAACTAATTCTGAAATATGATTCTAGCCAGTTGGAAGTTTTATCTTTATCTAAAAATGAAATTGTTTATTCTCCAGCTGTGACTAGGAAAAAATTCAAAGATTGTTGATTCCTTCATCCAGCAATGGTCTTTGTCCTGTGGTGAGGTGCCTAAAAATAACGGATAGTTTATGTCATGCTGCTTCCAAAAGGTTAGCTACCAAACAGCTCTTCTTGGAGATGGGGTGGGGGCAGATCTGATAACCAGACAAGAGGCACCTTAAAGTATAAAATTATTAACTAGAAAACCCTTGGAAAATGGCTGCCACGATACCGACCGTACTCTCCTCACCTGTTAAATGAAGTGTTACCTCAGAGTCATGTTCTGAATAAAAGTCTATAATGCCAAGATCTGGAAAATGATCCTGCGCTGGCAACATCTAATACTGGAGAAGGTGAACCAAGAACTAATTTTTATCTTGCAACAAAGGTTTAACGCCCTCCCCCACTTAAAAAAAAAAAAAGGCTTCAGGACCATTATTTTAATCTTTTTAAATTTGGAGGGGGGAACCCTAAATATGCCAGGTATTTGGAGACCAGGGACTACAGACAGAAGCCTATGTTCTACCCAGTCCTCTCAACAGAGGACGCTGAGGAATTAGACACCTCTTCTTAGATACAACGTTGCTCTTCCTGGGCTCAGGGCTGGCTCTTCAAGTTGACCTTGCATGTCCCCCTCCTATCCCTTACCATGGTTCTACCAACTCTGTGTGCTCACTCCTTTCTGCTCCCCTGCATGCCTTTGACACCCCAGGAGAACTAACCTTCAGTATTCCATCCACATGACCCCCACCTCTGCCTCTAGCAGGGAGCTGCAAAGGGATGCATGTGTCATCCTCTTTATTCTCCTTATCAACCCTGCACTCCCAAGTCCCTTGCCTTTTCTCCGCTCCCTTTCTAGTCTTCCACAGGCTTCGAATGCTGCCCACTTACTTCAGTTGTATCCATCCACTTCTCAAAACTGCCACCTATCCTTCAGGTCCATCTCAGAGGGTACCTCTTTCAATGTGTTTTTCCTAAGCGCCCCCCCCCCCCAGAAGAATGCAGCCTCCCTCCACTTTAAACATGGCGTAGACTTAGGTTGACCAGTCTCTGTTGTTATCTGTTATATTGTTGTTATAATCATGATGTATCTCCCTGATTCTCCCATCCCTTCTAGATGCAAAGTTTTCTTTCTGATCCATTCTCTATTTGACCAGTGTTATTATTGCTTCTATATTAATATTAGCCACCATATATAAAGCACCTACTGTATGCCAGACACTATGCTAGTAGCTTAACAGATACCTCACTTCATTCCATTCTCCCGAAACACCATGAAATAGAGGTGAGTATAGCCATGTAGGGGATCCAGGCAAGTGAGACTCAAGGGGTGAATGAATGGCCATAAAAAGCAGCTACTAAGTGGAAAAGCTGGATTCTAACATAGGTCTATTTCTTTCCAATGATCAGGCTCTTTCTCTCACACCCAGCTGCTTCATCAACAGAATAGTTTATACTGCTGAAGGGAAGAGACTGAGTCCTCTCAAAAACTCTGGAGAAAAGTAGTGTATGGGTCAACAGAAGGAGAGCCATAAGTTATCTTTGACAAGTTCTACCAGCTTCCAAGAGAAAGGGTGGAGCAGAGCAGGACAAGATGTTAGGCATGGCCAGAGAGGTCCCTGAAGTAGCTTATCTTTGGTTTGATTTGAGGAGAAGAAACTCATGGAGAACTTGGGGCTCTAAAGTATGAAGAATGAAAAAGAAAGAAAGAAAGAAAAAGAGAGAAAGAGGGAAAAGAAGGAAGGAAGGAAGGGAAAAAGAAAGGGAGAAAAACAAAAGGAAGGAAGGAAAAGAAAGAAAGAAAAAAGAAAGAAAGAAAAGAAAGGAAAGAGAAAGAAAGAAAAAAGAAAGAAAAAGAAAAAGAAAGAAAGGGAAGAAAACGTTTCCTATCCCAAGGGTAGGATGGGGCGCAGGGGGGGAAATCTGCTCGCCTGGGGCAAGGTGGATGTCCCTTCAGAGTTGAGGAGGACAATAGCCGTAAAGATAATTTCTCACTTGTACCTGGATATGTTTGAACATGTAAGGTCCAAAAACGTAACAGAGAGTAAGTATCCTGCACGCACACATTTGCTTATGTTTCGCTGAGTTACCACATAACATCATCTTACACTAGTCCCCTGCCATATGTACCTGAGGTACTCACCTCATTTTCATGAGACAGGACACTTAGCAACATCAAACGGACTCTCTTTGACCTCTCTGAGCTTCAGTTTCCTCGTCTGTACCATGGATTTAATATCACTAAGCACTCCTCTAAACCAGTCCTGCTCAACAGAACTTCCTGCAACAGTGGAACTGTCCTTTAGCTGCACTGATACTATAGTCATTAGCCTCATGCCACTATAAAACCCTTGAACTCTGAATAGTACAACTGAGGATGGAAATTTTCATTGTTTTCAATTTTAATTCATTTTCATTTTAGCAACCACTTGTGACTAGTGGCTGCCATGTTGGACACTGCAGCTCTAGACCATGAATTCAAAGTTTTCTACCTCTTCTTCAGCCTTCTACCTCGTGGGGAAATGTTTACGGTATTTTTTTTCTCTCCAGATTAATTTTGTTTTGAAAAACTAACAGGAATGGAGGGACCTAAAGAGTCTCACCAAAAAACAAACAAACAAAAAAACACCGCACAGCAGTTCACTTGGACCTAAAAATTGCTTTTGATAAAGATACAAAGCAAGGTCTGCTCTGCACTACTTTTCTGCACCCAGAATACATGCTGAGACAGGATAAAGAGCAGGGCAACATGCAAAGCTTGGAAACAGCCCTTTTGTCCTAAACGTGTAACCCCAGCAATCTGTGTGTTGAGCCAATACAAAGGCTGTGTCTCTTGCTGCTCTTCTCTTTCACAAACCCTGGTACTCAACTAGATCCTTTAATCTTATCATAAAACATAGGCAGACCTGGATCTAAATCTACATCCATATCTTCCAAAGCATATTTGTCTGGGAACTCTGAAAAAGAACGCTCTACTTCACTGCAGAACTTTCATCCTTGCTTAAAAAGCAGATCTGTATATGCCACGGTAGATTTCAAGAGTTGGGAGAAAGAAAATTCTAGAAAAAAATATTAATTGAAGGCCATACTTATCACTACAAAAGCTTCCCTTTGATGAGCTCCTTCTGCTAAGTCTGTGCCGTCCCTACAACCCACATTATCTCATGTACTTTTCACAACAATTTTCTCAGAACCCCTGCATCACATTTTAATGATGACGTGACTCTGGTTTAGGATGGTAGATAATATTTTACCCAAGAAAGAGGAAGTTGAACAGTGACTCCAACCCAACACAGTGTGTCTACAGAAGCTGTGTTCTTCAACACTAGTCTACATTCCAGTGCCTTGGACCGTGCTATATTCCCAAAGAAGCCCTTTATGTTGGAGAGTTCCAAGTAGAAAAATATTTCTCCTCCTGTGCTGAAATTTACCTTCTTAACCAACCCCCCTCCCCACCCCCAACATAAACACGCGTCAGCCCTTGTTCTGTCCTTTGAGGACACAAGGGACTAGCCAGCTCCCACTTCCCTAGGATTTATACATGGTCATCCTATCCCTCTCAACCCTGGCTTTTTCAGCTACAGGATAAACACACACGGTCCACACTCATTCCTCCTACAAGATAGTTTCCAGACCTTCTATTGCCTGATCACTTCCTATAAAGATAAGAATCTGCTTGTGCTTTTTAAGAAGTCTCTATAGAATAAGTCATTCATTCTGAAATTTTAAAAGCCCTACTGTCAGAACATGACCCTTCATGTTTTACCTAAATTATCACAAACTACAATCTAAAATAATTATCCTTAGGTCTATCCTCAAGGGAGACATTAACCAGCCAGTTGTCTGCATGAGAATACATTTTTAAAGGTTATTATTTGCTCCCTATCTTTTTCCTCTCTGGCATTATTATTTCCAGTTCTAGAAAATTTGTCTTCATAAGGTTTACCTCCTCCCCCATCAGTAATTTCTACAGTGCCCCTTTCATCTAGACCCAGGTTGCTACAGAGTTTAAGACAGGATTCAATGCAGAGGTCAAGCTCAAGCTTAAGCAAAGGGAAGCTATCTGCCTGGACTCATGACTACCTTTTGTTGTTAGGAGTGCAATAAAATAGCAGCTGCTTTTTAATGTGTGCCTGCTATGGGCCTGTCACTGTGCTGGGTGCTTTCTATAATGATTTCTAATCCACAATTCCCTTTGGAAAGACTTTGACTCACATTTTACAAATAAGGTCATGGTTAGACAAGATAAGTCACTTGTCAAAGGCATTGAACCCAGGTATGTCTAATTCTAAAGCCTGGGCACTTTCCTCCACACTGAAGATGTAATGGGTCTTTTCCAAAGTACAAAAAATATCCACCTGCCCTCCGACCACCATGAGCCAATGGGAAATACACCACCCTCAAGAATCACATTTCCTGCCACCAAACAATGCAGCATTTGGCTGTGCCAATGTAAGTCTCTTACATACGGCAATGCAAAATCCTCACTCAACCCATACTCTGGTCATTATTACCCTAGACTCATTGCCTCAGCATCTCAACCAGCAACTCTAATGGCCTTTTAGATGGAAATTTAAGTCATTTAGCAACACACAAAAAAGTGTTGGATAAAAGTCCCAAAGCATTTCAAGCTTGGCCCATGGCCCTTCCTCATAAAAAAGAAAGAAAGAAAAGAAAAAGCTAAGAATTGATGGAAAGAGGGTGGGAGGAAGGACTTTGTGGAAGGCAAAGAGAGTTAAAGTGATTGCAATAGAGTGTGCAATTAATGAATATTTGCCCAGTAAACAAATAAGATGGGCTGTGCTGGTTTAAAAGAAAAGAACTTACCAAGTTTCTCTTCTTCATAATCATTTTTATTCAATGCGCTGGCCTACATTGCAGATTCACACATTCTTATTTAGGAAACTAATTTGAATAAGAAAGCATACTCAAAAGAAGTGTTTGTTTCCTTTTTTTGTTGTTGCTGTTGTTTTGGGGTTTTGTTTGTTTTTGCCTAACCAGGGAGTAGATGCCCTAGGTAGCTGTTGCATGGATAATTGGTAAAATATCAAGTATGAATATAATTAGGATGTGGTGGGGATGTGTGGGCAGGAGGTTCTTGATTAAATGCATAGCCAGTGCTTTCTAGGTCCCCAGACCCGTGCTCAGTCCTACAGAAATGTTTCTCATTTCTGCCATAATCCCTCTCCAGATTTCGCAACGACTTTCTGTTCTCATGCAGGAGGCAATCACGTGGGATCATGTTGATGCATTTGATCGTTGGGCTAAAATCTTTCTGGAAAAAAAAAAAAAGAGCACCTCTATAGGATAAGTATTCCAAATACTGAATCTAATTGACATACGTAGCTAACTCTGAAGGAGCAAGTATAAGAATAGCATGGGCATAGAAAAACGCCAATTTGCAAAGTGACTGATTAAAAACCGAATACCTCTCAACTATTTTCTTGAACTATATTCTGGTGTATTTTCTAACTAAAGAGTGGTATGAATGACTTCATTCCCTGTATATATCATTGCCACATGCATCCAGAGCATATTTAGGTCAATATTGTAATCATCTAAGGTTTAGCCATGTCTTCCTATCTACTCAAAAAATTTGTCAACCACCTTCGACAACAGCCCTTGCCTCTTGCTACCTTGATTGTCCATACTGATAAATAGTCATAAGAGAGATGACTAAGACAATTTAACCAAGTAAGAACTGCCTCACAATAGCATAATCTCCTCCATATACTGTTGGTATCTAATCCTTTCACTCTTTAAGGCTCAGCTTAAATTCTGTCCTTTCCAACTACCACTCTTTGACAATCCTTTTCATTTTTTTCAAATTCCATACCACAAAATCAGTAATTTGCCTTCCTTCCTGCTTTATCCCTTCATTATTAAATGTGTGATTCCATTTTATTTATAATTCTATTGTTAAGGCCTCTGAGGGTAGGCACTTAGTCTTATGTTTATTTCTATCTCCACAGAGCTCTGATTATTGTGGAAAACTCAATGTATTAGTCTGTTCAGGCTATTATAGAAACATATCACAGACTGTTATTTTGGCTTGAACAACAAAAACTTATTTTCTTACATGTTCTATAGGGTAGAATTCCAACTCAAGGTGCTGGAAAATTCAGTTCTTATGAGGCCTCTCTCCTTAGCTTGCAGACGGCTGCCTTCTCACTGTGTCCTCACATGACCTCTCCTCTGTGCAGGAGCAGAGAGAGAAGGAGAGGGAAAGTTCTGTCACATGGTGATCCTCTTCTTCTAAGGACACTAGCACAAACAGATTTGGGACCCACTCTTATGACCTCATTTAAACTTAATTACCTCTCTAAAGGCCCTATCACCAAATATAGTCCCATGGGAGGTTAGGGCTTCAATATATGAATTCGGGGGAAAAAGAAGACAGGATTTAGTCTCTAACGCCCAGTGAGAATAGTGTAAGTACTTGTAGATTGGAGAAGACCTCAGAGGCTCACGGACATTCTTTCTGAGCCATCCCCTGCCCTCGATCATAGTTTGGACAACTGGGGTTTAGAAACATTCTGTCAGATTCTCCAAAAAACTTGACTTTTTAAGGTTTTAGAAATAAATCAAGGAGAAAAGAAACTGGGTCTCAAAGAGGTAGAGTATTGTTCCAATGGCCACACAACAGTTAAGAAGCTGGGCTGGAATTAAAGCTCACCTTGCCTTCTAGCACATTCGTCAATTGAACCTCTGCCTCCAGGAGTGGAGGGAAACCAGCAGATGCTGCTAAATATGGACTGGAGGACCAATAATAAGAGGCAGGAGTTATTGAACACATCTACTGCGACTATGGTCTCATAACATTACAATGACTCACTCAGTGGGCTCGAGTAAATATTGAAGGGATTCGTAAATCTGTGAAAGATTTCTACTTATGTTTTTACTTATATCATTATTTTAACCCCAACATTAGCCATTCACTATACAGAAAGAGAAATAGGACAAAGAAGAGTTACATGACTTACCCAAAGGCACAGAGTTAGAGCTGAGATCCAAATCCAGGTCTGGTCTATACTGTTCCAAAGTTTTGCCCGTTTCTCTATTCCCTGCCATCTCCCTGTATTTCCAGAAGTTGAAAAGTAAGTGAAATCATTCCTTCAAGATGGCAATATTCTTTGAGAGACTAGTTGGTATCAACACTACAGTGAATACTGAAGGAGTATCAGGAGAGCTTCAGACGCAGGAGATAGAACATCAAAATTCACTTGGAAAGACGATACTCAATAGAGTCGATTAGCAGTGGATACTGACAAGCTTGCTTTCCCTCCTTTCCTTGCAGAAGAGAATTCCTTCAGGAATATCAGGATCACACTCATCTGGATTCTCCTCTGTGCTTCCACATCTGCACTTCTGCCTGAGACCGAGACACCCTAGGAGTGAGAGCGCAGAAACGCCCCAGCCAGACCCACCTCCGCCATGGAGGCCGTGACCCGGCTGTTGGCGGGCATCCTCCTAGCCTCGCTCACCCTCACTACCGAAGGTGGGGTCCTCAAGAAAGTCATCCGGCACAAGCGACAGAGCGGGGTCAATGTCACTCTGCCGGAGGACCAGCAGCCGGTGGTGTTTAACCACATCTACAACATCAAGCTGCCCATCGGGTCCCAGTGCTCCGTGGATCTGGAATCAGCCAGTGGGGAGAAGGACCTGGCACCGCCATCAGAGCCCAGCGAGAGCTTCCAGGAGCACACGGGCGACGGGGAAAACCAGATCGTCTTCACACACCGCATCAACATCCCCCGCCGGGCCTGTGGTTGCGCTGCAGCTCCTGACATCAAGGAGCTCCTGAGCAGACTGGAGGATCTGGAGAATCTGGTGTCTTCCCTGCGGGAGCAGTGCACCACAGGAGCCGGCTGTTGTCTCCAGCCCGCCGAAGGTACGCCCAGCCCCTCACTGTCCAGATGGGAGAAATGATGAGCCTGGCCAGATCCGTCACTTTGTTTCCAAAGCAGGTTCCCTGGGGAACTGGCCTCACAAAGTGTTCATTTGAGAAGAGATTTTATGGTCAAATAAATGTGCAGAATGTAAACCATCTCTGTTCTGCTCTTGGAGAGTCCTGGTGACAAATGTTTCTCAGAGGAGTTTTAGACCTCCGAGAAGTCTTGCTTGGAAAAACCTTATTTCACCTTAATGACCAGTTTCTAACATTTATTTGACCATGAGATCTACACATTCTCTACCCCAAAACCTATGAACCATATCATGAAATTCCTGACCCAAGATCACTCTCTGAAAGGTGCTAATATGGCCTCATCACATCACTGTCCAGGCAGGAAAACTAAGGCCCAGAAGGAGGGTGGGATTCCTCACGGTCCTGCCACAAGTGATCGAGTTAGGACTTGAACCACAGTATCTCACACCCTGGTGTTCTCACAAAGACACAGTGCTGCCTGTGGTAGTACAAAGTCTGGGAACTGGAAAAAATGTTCCAGCTTATGGCAGCAACAACCATCATCACAATATACATTGAGCCCTCTTTCATGCATCAGGCACTGTATAATTCATTACCTGATTGAACCCTTCCAACAACCCTTTGAGATAAGGTTTAATACTCCCATTCTACAGATCTAACAGCTGAGACTCAAAGAAGTTAACCAATTCGCACAAAAAGACACCAAGAGTAATAAGAGAAAGGATCTCTGAGTGGGCCTGTGGTCTCTAGAGCTCACGCTCCCTACCCCCACCCACCCACCCCCACCCCCACCCCCACCCCTACGATAACCTGTATCCTGTGCATCTTTTTCTCAGGGATTTTGCCACTTTAGAATTGTCTTCATCTTCACTGCCTACACTTGACAGGGCTAGCTTCAAATCAGAGCTGAACATCTTTATTTCTGCCACCCTGACAAAATGACCAGAAAGCACTTTGATAAGTTATTTCAAGAGTAGACCTAATCACTGTAAGTGGAGAGGACTATAGGACATGCTCTAGGTGTACAAGGGGGGAGAAAATGTTTTCTTTAGGCACAAATTACTTTATCTTCCATTTCCATCAACTTCCTGGCAAAATGCAGATGGGAGTTACACAATAGGATTAATGCTAAAGAATGGGTTGAAATAATTGTTTAATGCAGTGCTGTCCAGGAGAAATATAACATGAGCCAGATATATATTCTTAACACTTCCAATAGTCACATTAAAGAAATGAAAAAGGAACAGGTGAAAATAGTTTTAATCAACTATTTTATTTAACTTAGTGTAACCAAATTATCCACTTTTCACCATGGGATCAACACAAAACTTATTAATGGATATTTTATATTCCTTTCTTTAAACAAGTCTTTGAAATCCTGTATGTATTTGACATTTATAGCAAATCTCAATTCAGAGTAACCACGATCCAATTGTTTAGTAGCCACACGTGTCTAGTGGCTACCCTACATGAAAACGTATGATTCTCACCTTTCAGACTATTTGTTTTAATTGCCTTCTTCCCTGCTGTTAGGAAGGAGATAAAACATAGTAATACAACTGTATTTGGGTGCAGAGAAAATGGAGTGAGCTTTGTTTCTTCTCCTTGGCTCCATGGAGACTACGCCAGTCACTCTTGCAAGCTGAGCCAACACACGATGTAGACTTCAAAGAGATGGAGTCATGTCAGCCCTGACCGTGTCTTCCTCAGATTCACCCACCCCTGCAGCCTTCAGGATGGGTAGGGAAAAAGCTAGACACACATGAGCGTTGTGGGGGTAGAGCCACATTATAAGCTGTACCGACAGAATTAGAAAGCCATTCCTATGCTGCCTCATTTCAGTAATGGAAAATTAGAAAGTTTGGTCACGTAAACCCACATACCGACTTGAGTCAACCCAAAAAACTGCAAGAGAAGGTCACAATGAGAACAACAGTAGGTCTGTAATGTCCTCACTTAGCCCTGATACCCCCCAGGGAAGTAGGTGATTGGTCCCACCTGACCAATGAAGAAACTGATCTCCAAAGCATCTAACGCCCTTTCCAAATGCAGCACGGCTACTAAGCCAGAATAAGAATGAGTTCAGTTCAACAAATATTTCTTGTGTGAAACAATTATTCTCTTATGTGCCTGACCTTGGCAAGGTACAGGAGAAATTACGTAGCCCAGCATAATATATTCCACAAGGCAATGATTTGTAATCACCGGGGTCATGGGAATACTTAAAATTCGATAAAAACTATGGATCCTCTCCCGGGAGGGGGGTGGAGGGGCGGTGGAAAACACACACACACACCCACACACACACAGCTACACACGTAAGTACACACTCTTTACATTTGAGAGGACAGGTTAAGAATTTGCACCTACTCTAATGGGGTGTCAGTTCCCTCCGATTTCACACATGAAGCCACTAGTTTTCAAGCCAGATGGGAGCTGAGGGTGCCACCATCTTCCGGTTGCATTGGAATCTGGGTTGGGCGGGTGGTAACAGAGAACGCAGCAGCTTAGGCTCAGGGGTCAGCCTCTGCGCTCTCGTTGCAGGCCGCCTGGACACCAGGCCCTTCTGCAGCGGTCGTGGGAACTTCAGCGCGGAAGGATGCGGCTGTGTGTGCGAACCCGGCTGGAAAGGCCCCAACTGCTCGGAGCCCGAATGTCCTGGCAGCTGTCACCTGCGAGGCCAGTGCCTGGATGGGCAGTGTGTCTGCGACGAGGGCTTCACGGGGCAGGACTGCGGCCAGCTGGCCTGCCCCGGCGACTGCAACGACCAGGGCAAGTGCGTGAGCGGGGTCTGTGTGTGTTTCGAAGGCTACACGGGGGCCGACTGCAGCCGGGAGGTGTGCCCGGCGGCTTGCAGCGAGGAGCACGGTAGGTGTGTGGACGGCCGCTGCGTGTGCCAGGACGGCTTCGCGGGCGAGGACTGCGCCGAGCCGCTGTGCCTCAACAACTGCCACGGCCGCGGGCGGTGCGTGGAGAACGAGTGTGTGTGCGATGCAGGCTTCACGGGCGACGACTGTGGCGAGCTCATCTGCCCCAACGACTGCTTCGACCGCGGCCGCTGCGTCAACGGCACCTGCTACTGCGAGCAGGGCTTCACGGGCGAAGACTGCGGCGAGCTCAGCTGCCCGAACGCCTGCTCCGGCCACGGCCGCTGCCAGCAGGGCCAGTGCGTGTGCGAGCCGGCCTTCGCTGGGCCCGACTGCAGCGAGAAGAGGTGTCCCGCCGACTGCCACCAGCACGGCCGCTGCGTGGACGGGCGGTGTGAGTGCGACGCCGGCTTCGCGGGAGCCGACTGCGGCGAGCTCCAGTGTCCCAGCGGCTGCAGCGGCCACGGCCGCTGTGTCAACGGGCAGTGCGTGTGCGACGGGGGCCACACCGGAGAGGACTGCGGCCAGCTGCGGTGCCCCAACGACTGTCACAGCCGGGGCCGCTGCATCCAGGGCCAGTGCGAGTGCGAGCCGGGCTTCCAGGGCTACGACTGCAGTGACATGAGCTGCCCCAGCGACTGCCACCAGCACGGCCGCTGCGTGAACGGCATGTGCGTCTGTGACGACGGCTACACCGGGGAGGACTGCCGAGACCTGCGCTGCCCCGGGGACTGCAGCAGCCGCGGCCGCTGCGTGGGCGGCCGGTGCGAGTGTGAGCACGGCTTCACCGGCCCCGACTGCGCGGAACTCGCGTGCCCCGGCGACTGCCACGGTCAAGGCCGCTGTGTGAACGGGCAGTGCGTGTGCCACGAGGGCTTCATGGGCGCCGCGTGCAAGGAGCGGAGATGTCCCGGCAACTGTCACGGCCGGGGCCGCTGCGAGGACGGGCAGTGCATCTGCCAGGAGGGCTTCGCGGGCCCCGACTGCGGGCGGCGCTCCTGCCTCAACGACTGCAGTGGCTGGGGCCAGTGCGTGGAGGGCCGCTGCATCTGCAGCGAGGGCCACGCCGGGGACGACTGCTCGGAGGGTGAGTCCACTGACCATTGGTTCAGGAGCAGGCCCTGGTGCGGGTGGGAGAGCTAGGTGTCGTATTACACCTGCGCCCGCGCACGGCGCACACACACACCTTAGCAGGGGCCCTTGGTTATTCAGCTGTCACAGGGCTAACTATTGGAAGGCTCGGAGGCTCAGTGGGGGTCATAGAATTGTCCCAAGAACACTTAGCTCGTACATTCTAGAGCTGTTATTTGAGTCTACCCATCTGGTCTACACCGAGGGTAACACACCTGTGGTGAGGTAGATGAAATGAAGACAGCCTTTTTGCTAAATATGAGCCCTCTCATCTCCTCCCCACTGACGCGGAACCAAAAATAACCTAAATCTCCATTTGAAGGGAAGCAAAAATTCAGCTCAATTGAATGGACAATGAGATTACATAAACAGTTTTACATGCACACTCAGAGAGTAAATGCTAATTAATCACATAGGAGGTGGACCCATCTCTTAACTCATTTATTCGTAACTGTCTTTGATCCCGGGGATTATGAGCTCCTTCAAGGAGCGCTAATCTGACAGCACAAGGCACAGCATATGGTAAGTGCTCAATAAACATGGATTGAGTGAAAATACAACAAAGAATGATAATGCTCATGTTCACTGAGGGTCTTCTTTGTACTCCTCTCATCCACCCAGACTGTATCTGTTGTAATAGAGAATTTCTGCCCCGATTGAAGGTATCATTGATATGAATAAATAAATGTGTTTAATGGGCCCAAGGCAGGGAAGCCTGGTTGGAAAGAACACCAGGCTGGCAGGGAGGAGGTGTGAGTCCCAAATTTGATGAGATGAGCAAAGTTGGGCCAGTCCCTCTGCCTCTCTCACATCTAGAAAATGAAAGAATTGGGACCAAATGAGCCCCAGATACCTTTCCAGCACTAACGATGTATGGCCTCAAGTTCAGAGCAGGGAGCCAAGTTCAGGCTGCCTGTGCCCATGCAAATGGCCCGAATCTGAACTAAGGTCCAGAGAGTAGGGAAGTCGGAGGGGTCAGGTCACAAAGAAGCCTAACGGCCACACTGCAGACTCAGCACTTTAGCCTGACGGTCACCAAAGGTTTTCAAGTTGGATCAAAGCAGAAGGTCCTTGACGAGTCTTTTATTTTAGGAAATGGAAGCCCGATTTTAGGGCTCTGTGACTGGTAACGGGGGGACACATGAAGGGAAACAGCCTAGAGAGAGAATTTATAGAGGACCTTACTGACACCACCTGACCCAAGCTTTCGTTCTCCTGCCAGTGTCCCCTCCCAAAGACCTCATCGTGACAGAAGTGACGGAAGAGACCGTAAACCTGGCCTGGGACAACGAGATGCGGGTCACAGAGTACCTGGTCATGTACACACCCACCCACGAGCACGGCCTGGAAATGCAGTTCCGCGTGCCTGGGGACCAGACGTCCACCACCATCCGGGAGCTGGAGCCTGGTGTGGAGTACTTTATCCGTGTCTTTGCCATCCTGGAAAACAAGAAGAGCATTCCCGTCAGCGCCAGGGTGGCCACGTGTGAGTGCCCAGAACCCATCCCCACCCCCACAGCCTCTACTGCCCTCGGCTTGCCCAGTTCATGACCTGCCCCCACGGGTCACCGCCTCACCTTCGCCCCCATGGCTGCGTAGCTGTCCTTTCATCGTTGCACCAATTAAGACCCTGGGATCCAGTTAAGCCCACTGAATTTTTTTAAAAGAAACCCCTCATCTAGTAATTCATTTAACTCACCATAACCCTATGAGATAGGGACAATTATTAACCCATTTTACAGATAAGAAAACTGCGACTAAATGGTCAGCAGCTCCTCCCAAATCAGACTCTTAATAAGTTGTGGAGATGGAATTTTAACCCTGGAAGTCTGGTTGCAGGTTTGTGCTCTTGCTCATTCTATTCTACTACTTCCTTTCTATGGAGCTCATTGTCCACATATTAAAAAAAAAAAAAAAAAGTAGAAACATTAGGGTTCAAGTTATTCCTTTAGGAATCCAACAACAGTATAATTCCCTTCATACCTAAAAAAGCAAGTTGTGCCTAGAAATTGGTCCTTATTTTTGCTCAGCAAATATAACATTGGCTGCCACGTATTTTTTTTTAAAAAAGATTTTATTTATTTATTTGACAGAGACATAGAGAGCACAGATAGGCAGAGCGGCAGGCAGAGGGAGAGAGAGAAGCAGACTCTCCTCAGAGCAGGGAGCCCGATGCGGGGCCCAATCCCAGGACCCTGGGATCATGACCTGAGTCGAAGGTAGCCTCTTAACCGACTGAGCCACCCAGGCACCCCTGGCTGCCACGTATTGAAATGTGCTGTGCTCCAGGACCCGTGCCCAGCAGCCGACATGCAACGTATCACTCAGTCCTCAAAACATTCCTAGGAACAGGCGTACTTACCTCTTCCTCCCGAGTGAAGAAGCTGAGGCTTGGGGCACTTTGTGCAACTTGCCCATGCACACAAAACTTTTGTAATGTGGAGCTTGGATTTGAGCCCAAGGTCCATCTGATTCCAAACCCTGGGTTCATATGGCTTCACCATATGAAATTGCCAGGATTTAATCATATGGTGGGTCCTAATGCTAATTGTCACACTGCCTCACAGTAAACAGCATCCCACAAGTAGTCGGAAATAGAATCCAGCTCTGACGGGGGTGGGGCACCCACCAGTGGGGTTTAGGGGAAATCACCGCTGTGTCCACCGCCCCCCCGCAACATGCAGCCATCCTTCCGTCTGCTCTTCCTGACAGACTTACCTGCACCTGAAGGCCTAAAGTTCAAGTCCATCAAGGAGACATCTGTGGAAGTGGAGTGGGATCCTCTGGACATCGCTTTTGAAACATGGGAGATCATCTTCCGGAATATGGTAAGGAGCACAGAGGAGTGGGCATATTTGACCTCAAGGATCTGAACAATGGTCTGAGGGCTCTACAGACTTTTATATCAACTTTCTTTCCGTAGCTTCTGGTGGGGAACCCGGCTGTGGATCGTTAGCCCCTACATGTTTGCATATATATTCTAAGTGATTTTAATAAGTCCGTAAGCATAGCCCTTAGGGCTGTGAGCTCAAATAGATGCTGAGCCGTCGCCTTGTTCCTCATAGTCTGGCAAATCTCTACTCAGAATAGAACAAACAAGCTCTGTCTCCAGATGCCTCCAGGCATATCTGAGATGGAGTATCCCTTCTGTCTGGGCCTTAGAGCTCATAAGAGGCAGGGAAGTATATTCCTGAGTCCGAGCCCAGGCACTGTCACTAACTAGCTGGGTGCCAATGGGACAGGCACCCAACCTCTCTGATGCTCATTTCTTGGTCTATCAAAGGAAGGATTGAATCTGTGGCTCTAGACTGCTTTGGCTCTCACATCCTGGCACTTGACTTGAGTGTCCAAGGAGTGAGTAGAGAGGTTTACAAGAGGGAGAAGCCAACTCAAGAAATGTTCTGATCCTCTGTGCGTCCTCAGCACCTGCCATGCTGATCTGCCGCCAAGGGAGAGCTTAGCGAAGGAGTGGATGCGGAAGGAGCGAGCCACAGAGAAGAAGAGGCTGGAACCTCCTTTAGGTCTTACCAAGGTGCTCCTGTCTTTCAGAATAAAGAGGATGAGGGAGAGATCACCAAAAGCCTGAGGAGGCCAGAGACCACATACCGGCAGACTGGCCTTGCTCCTGGGCAAGAATATGAGATCTCGCTGCACATTGTGAAAAACAATACCCGCGGCCCGGGCCTGAAGAGGGTGACCACCACCCGTGAGTATCACCTTTAACAGCACGGACCCTGTGATAAAGCTGACTGTACCCCATAGCGCCTCTGCTTGAAAATATTTCCTCTTCTGTCGCTTCTGCATCAACTAGATTTTGCTACGTAAAAAACAAGCCCCAAAGTTAGTGGCTTAAAACTATAGTTCTGCACATTGGTGATTTGGGGTTGGGCTCAGCTGGGCAATTCTGTTTTTGAGTGGGCTCGCTGATGCATCTGTGTGGGCTGGGGGCTGGCTGGCCTCAGGTGGCCTCAGTATGCTAACCTGGGCCTGATCACATGGCAGCTGAGCACTGTATCACTCTGTCAAAGCGCATCTCAAGGCCAGTCCAGATTTAAGGGGTGGGGAAACAGATCCAGCCCTTGATGAAAGGCGCCTCAAAGTAACATCTCAAAGGGGCACAGATACAGGAAGATCAATAAGAGAGACCATTAGAAATAACCTACCATATCATCTAATCTGATACACCAGTCTTGTGAAAGAGGTTGGGAAAATACTATTGTTATTACTTTTCCAAGAGTAAAAACTGAGGCTCAGGGAAGTGAAATCAGTTTAACAAACATCACATGGTAAACACTTGGACCTCCACAGGGCCACAATTATCAGCGAGGATCCAGTTTTATAACTTTCACCCCCTTTACCACTAGCATTGATGAGGAACTGGTCTATGTAGAATGTTCATCCTGTATCTCCAAAAGGAACATAAATTAAATGTCATTCAATAATAAAGAGGTCAGAACTTCTTGGGGGTAGAATAGAATTTGGCCCTACTGGATCCTTTGGTGAGGGGGAAAAAAGAAAATCTGGATTTGGAGTTGTTCTACCAAGAAGCAAAATTTTAAACATCAATAAATAAATAAAATTATTTTGCATTGCCATTTGGGAAAACCTCTTTATCTTCTTCAAGATAGCATCTGTGCCAACTGTTTAAGGAATTGATTCTTTTTGGCAGGAGATTGTTGGAAAAGTTAAATCTGTTGACTAATGACAAGAAAGAACATCTTGCATTTAAATATTTGCACATTTTGCCTAGCTCAGAGCCAACTCTTAGACTCTCCCCCCTATAGGCAAGTGTTTCCATCATTCTGACACCATCCCTCTGTGGTAGGTAGAGAGCAGGTATCGACAGGAGAAAAATCATTAGATCACCAGAAAGGCATAGAAAAGATCCAGCAGATGCTTACCTGCTATAGAGAAGGCACACCAAAACTACAAAATAAAATTTATCTACCCCTTGCTTTTTAATCTAATTCTGGGGATTAGCTGCTTTATTCTTCTTGCAGGACAAACATCCCAACACCTAAAGTTCCCTAATCATATACATATCAACACTGAAAGGCAGACATTTACATACTCCTTTTGCTGATAGCCGAACTTTATCCAGGTTTAAAGGACCTTAAAGTTTGGGTGAGAAAGCATTTTTGGCTCCTTCCCACTGGTATCTGTCTCTATCAGGCTGCATTACTAACCATTTCTGGTACCTGGATGCTTTTGAGAGGCTTTCACATTTAATGGAGCAAGAGTATGGGTTTTGGACCCAAACAGACCTGAGAGTGAATTCCAGCTTCACCACTGACCATCACCTTGCGAAGTTCTACTTCTTTAAGCCTATGACCTACTATCAGGAACATGGATTTATAGTGTCCTTGCCGGGTTGTCATGGGAGTTAAGACATACATGACAGAGCACTGTGCTTGGCATGTTAGGAAGCCACAGCAGCACTTGTCTCCTCTATTCAAGGGTCCCAAATCTGGGGAGGGGGGAGAATCAGTGAGCTTGAGTCAATCCCAACTTCTTAGGAAAGAGTTGCTATGGACAGTAGCAGATGTGGTTTGGGTGCTTGCTGGCACCTGTAAGAACACGGGACAGGCAGCTTCACTGTTGAACTCTAGCTTTGTTTTCATTGTGAATTCTATGGGCTCATTGTCTGTAAGCTGAGACTGATGGGTCAACACTTAGAATTCAAAAAATAGACTCTGCAGGTTTCTCATAGTCAGAGAGGACTTCGTCCTCCTTCCCGTTCTGTATGTAACACTGAAGTTCCTTTCCTTTGTTATTGTCTCCTCGGCCAAAGCTGAAAACACAAACTTAGCTATTTTTAAATTGAAGAAATAAACATTGGCTAAATGCCTTAATCTCTTAATTTTAGGCATTTGCCAAATTCTTGGTCTGTTTTAATGTTTGCATTAAAATTGTTTTTATAATTAGCAAAAAAGAATTCAGACATCAATGACAAAGTCTGATGCTATGCTGGAGATTAAAAGGGGTCAAAGACCCACTCTCTAAATAAATGAATTGAGACCTTATCTAAGTTGAATAACACAAAGTGTAGAGAAATATGTTACAGAACAGTGAAAAAAGTGCAAGGATTCTCTTATTTTTGACTGTGCGAAGACCACTTAGAACAAATTCTATCTACTCTTTCAGTGAGTACAGTTACTTGCAGGCACTGTGTTGTCCAGCACATCTCTAGAACTTACTCATCTTACATACATTGAAACTTCCTACTTGTTGGGGAGGGTGTATGTGTTCACCTGATTATAACAAGGGTCAGAGAGGACTCTCATTAGGAAGTGATATGTAAGTGGGGTTTTGAGGGATGAATAGGAGATTTCTTTTAGAGGGGGAGGGGCAATCTCGGGAAGAAGGCACAAAGGAAGAGCAAGTGCAGGGGCCAAGAGGTGAGAAATAGCATGCCGTGCTTCCTGTCACAAAACAACACACACGCACAACACGACAACACACACGCACAACACGACAACACACACGCACAACACGACAACACAAGGGGGGGTGGGGCAGGAGGAGAACTGAGACGGAGGCACAAAGATGGCAAGGCTTGGGACAAGCCATGACTTTCTTCCTGAATTCTTTCCTCACAAGTAACTCTCTATACCTGGCCAAGCCAGGGGTGGCCTCGCTTTTGGGCTCCATAATTCTGATGGAAAAGTTATCTATCCAGGGAGTTTTGCCTAATAAAAAGCCAGAGAGCCCAAACCAATATTTTTTATTTTTTATTTTTTTATTTAAATTCAATTAGCCAACTTAGAGTACATCATCAGTTTCAGATGTAAATCAATGTTTTTTAAATGAAAAAGGCCCTAAGCATGTTTCTTCAACTCGTGAAAACTGTAGTGATAATAATAACAGGGCAATGATCATTTATCATGTAACTGCCATGCTCTAGGCTCTGTTCTAGGTGCTTTGCAAGCATTCTCCTTTCATGTTCGAAAAAACAACAAACCCTGCAAGGCAGTTGTCATCATCCCTATCTAGAGCTTGTCAAATGGGAAATGGAGACACAGAGGGACAAAAGAAGGTCAGATGGTTAGTAGACACTGAACTGTCCACACCTAGAACTGGATGGCTGCAAGCCCCTGTCTGCTCAGCCCCTGGCCCCGGCCCCAATCTCTGAAACCACTCTACCATCTGCCCGTCACAGGCTTGGACGCCCCCAGCCAGATCGAGGTGAAAGATGTCACGGACACCACGGCCCTGATCACTTGGTTCAAGCCCCTGGCCGAGATTGATGGCATTGAGCTCTCCTATGGAATCAAAGACGTGCCCGGCGACCGCACCACCATCGATCTCACACATGATGAGAACCAGTACTCCATTGGGAACCTGAAGCCGGACACCGAGTATGAGGTGTCCCTCATCTCCCGCAGGGGTGACATGTCCAGCAACCCAGCCAAGGAGACCTTCACAACGGGTAATGGGCCTTCTCCATTAGGGAGATGTCCCATCTCCAATGGGACATCTCCGTCCAGGAGATGTCCATCTCCTGTGGACAGCCAGGAAAGATGGGTTGTGAGGCTTCCATCCCACTCCGTGCTAGGATATCTTCCAGGGTCCTTTGACAGTAGGAAAGTAGAAAGGGAAATTTCATTCTTTTAAATGTTTATTTAAATATATTGTAGCAATTGATTAACTTTTTAAAGAAAAAGAAAACTATATCCGAATAACCTTCTAAAAAAAAACAAAAACATAAGGTGCTGGTCTGATAATCTCAGACAAAAAAGTTCTGATTAAAATAAGATTCAAATAAATATTTTCATAACAAAATACAGTTTATGGAAAGCATGGATGACAAAGATGCCCATAACCTCTTAGCCTGTGTCATTCTTTTTTTTTTTTTTTAACATTTTATTTATTTATTTGGGAGAGAAGAGTACAAGTGAGGGTAGGGGCAGCGGGAGAGGGAGAGAGAGAGAGCCCTCAAGCTGACTCCCTGCTGAGCTCAGAACCCAACATGGGGCTCCATCCCAGGACCCTGAGATCATGACCTGAGCTGAAAATGGATGCTTAACTGACTGAGCCACCCAGGCACCCCTGTGGCATTCTCTTAAAAGTCCCAAAGTGTCCATCAATCTTTGAGTCAATGAATATTTTTTCAGAGCACCTTATGAAGCACCGTATGAATTATTAGGAATACAGTGATGGGCACAACAGACCAGTTCTTACACTCACAGACCTTATTTGTAAGTTTCTGTATAGTTTTTTTAAGCATAAAATCTGAGGAGCGTGTGAATGACTAGAATAGCACACACATTAATAATGGGGAAAGGTGCCCGATATGCAGTATTTATTTAAATCTGTGCATCAGGTATTCAGGTGGGTGGCAGGGGAGATGTTGTCATGTTTCTCCAATGGCAGGTGCCTTTCATGTCTCAGCTTGAACTGTCCGACTCCCAGGCTCCTAGTGCCTGGTGTTTTCGATGCAAATGTCCCATCCTCTTCCAAACAGGCCTGGATGCTCCTAGGAATCTCCGTCGCATCTCCCAGACAGACAACAGCATCACCCTGGAATGGAAGAACGGCAAGGCGGCCGTTGACAGTTACAGAATTAAGTATGCACCCATCTCTGGAGGTGACCATGCCGAGGTCGAAGTCCCAAGGAGCCAGCAAGCCACCACCAAAACCACACTCACAGGTAAGCTCTGCATCCCAGACCCAGCCCGCCCGCGGGGGAGGGGGGGCGGGGTGTCCCCATTTTGCAGCCCTCCACGTAGAGAAAAAAGTGCAGTTGCCAGCAATTCTTCTCACTTGGACTTCAGCAAGGCAGTCTGTACAACATACCAGACACTGAGAAATCATAGCCTCCAGCAACAGGCAGCTCAGGGCTATTTTGTTGATCCTCTGAACGTCTTTCCAATTTGGGGCTAAATATCCACCTGCACGTTTTCCCTTAGGTCTGAGGCCAGGAACTGAATATGGGATTGGAGTGTCTGCTGTAAAGGCAGACAAGGAGAGCGATCCAGCCACCATCAACGCGGCCACAGGTGAGACACCCCTGGATCCCCCCCACCACTGGGCTGGCGCTGACAGACGTGCTGGGGCCCAGGAGGCAGAAAACCTATTTTGAAAGAAACAGTAGATGCACAGAGGAGAAAGGGGCCTCTAGGATCATCTAGCCCAGATGTCTAATTCAAAAGTAACATAAGCACGCCACATCTAAATGATCCTCAAGGGGAATGAGATTTTTTTTTAGGAGAAATTGGAACCAAATTTTATAAGAAACCTGCAAACTTTTCTTAAGTTGGTAATCAGTTCCATTTTATATATATATACATATATATATACACATACCTTGGACTAATCAAAACACATCTGGGAGGTTTTCTTTTAGAAAACACCTGACTTTTATAGTGTACTCTTGTCCTACAGAGGATAAGTAGCAGAAACAGTTTCAGACAGACTTTGCTCTTACCCATGAAGCTCCAGTCTCTGGATGAGAGTGATGAGGAGCCGTTTGATTTGAAGCCATTGATTCTTTCCTCAAGTTTCTCCCCCTCCCTGGAAAATGTGTTAAAGAAAAGAAAACTGTTCCCTCTATTTCTCCACCAAACTCCTCCTTACTTTCCCCAGGCACCGTGAAGAAAAGCGGTCTGGTGTGCAAAAAGGATGTAGATCATGCCTCATGGGTCCTCATTATGCAGGACCCAATGCTGAGCACTTGCACACACACTCTTTTTTTTTTAAGATTTTATTTATTTATTTGATAGAGAGAGAGAAAGATCACAAGTAGGCAGAGCGGCAGGCAGAGGGAAAAGGAGAAGCAGACTCCCATCGAGCGGGGAGCCTAACGCAGGCATGATCCCAGGACCCTGAGATCATGACCTGAGCCAAAGGCAGATGCTTAACCAACTGAGCCACCCCGGCGCCCCCCACACACCCTTTTTTATCTTTTTATTTTGAGGTAATTGTCAATTCACGTGCTGTTGTGAGAAATAATACAGGGAGATCCCCCTTAAACCCTTTGCCCAGTTTCCTCCAATGGTTAACAACTGTGTAACCATTGAACAATATCCCAACCAGGAAACTGACATTGATGCAATCTATCAACTTTATGCACATTTCACCAGTGGTACATGCAACTCGTTTGTGTGTGTGTGTGTTTAGTCCTATACCGTTTTACCCCAAGCAGCTTTTTTCACCCACTGGTACAGTTAAGACACAGAATAGTTCCATCACTAAGGCCACTTTTGTCCCCTTTTTTATAGCCACAGGCACTTCCCTCCCTCCCCCTCTCCCTAACCCTGGGCAATCCCTAATCTTTGTCTCCGTAATGTTATTTCAAGAATGCTACATATAAGGAATCATACAGAGAATGCAGCCTGCGGAGATAGGATTTTTCACTCAGTATAATTCTCTTGAGGTCTACTCAGATTGTTTCTGTGTCAACAGTCAGTTCTTTTTAGATGCTTTTAACTGAGTAGTATTTCATGGTGTGGATATAGACCACTCTATTCTTTTTAATCTTCCAAAACTCCAATGAGGCACTGTCCCATGGCATCTTAGAGAGGTGAAAACAGACCCAGACGGGAAAGTCACCTGCAGTCACACAGCCCCTGTAGGGCAGAGCTGGGATGCTAGTCCAGAGCTGCCTTTCAGCCCCAAAAGCAGCCCTGCCTCCCAGCCTGAGGCCTGTTCATCTCTCTGCTTTCCTCCCAGACATGGACACACCCAAGGACCTGCGGGTTTCTGAAACCACGGAGACCAACCTGACCCTGCTCTGGAGGAGGCCTTTGGCCAAGTTTGACCATTACCGCCTCAACTACAGCCTGCCCTCGGGCCAGCCAGTGGAGGTGAAACTTCCGAGAGACACCACCTCCTATGTCTTGAGAGGCCTGGAACCCGGGAAGGAATACAGCATCCTCCTCACCGCGGAGAAGGGAAGGCACAAGAGCAAACCCGCACGAGTAAAGGCATCCACAGGTGAGGTCAGCCTCTGAGCTCCCTCCAGACTCTCTGTTGATTCTGAGGTTTGCAGACCGGTAAGTCAGGCTGTCTCCACGAGGGAAAGCCAGGTGGGAATACGCACAACTTTCTCTGCATAGCACTTTGAAGGAGCTACTTACTTCTCTTTTCCTCTGTCAACTGATTCAGCAAAGTCTTTTTGTTGGGAAATCACTAGCGTTTTTAAAATATTTCTTCTTAGGAGAACTTAAAGCATCAGGGTTTGCATTTGTCTTTGGTTCTTTTTTTGTTTTTAATTAATTTTGTGCATTTTACAGAGTCTTTTAAATTGTTTATTTTTTGTCCTCCCTCTTTAGCCTAACAATTTACTTTCCACTTTTTTTTTCAAGAGTACCAATGTGTTGGTAATAATTCTTTGGTTATTTCCTACTAAATGTTTTTTAAGTTTATTTATCATTATTATTATTATTATTTAGTAATCTCTACACGTAACATGGGGCTTGAACTCATGACCCCAAGATCAAGAGTCACGTGTTCCACCGACTGAGCCAGCCAGGCACCCATTCCACTAAATGTTTTTATTCCAGGTCTTTTGCTTCCCTCTAAGGTTGCCTGAAAAGTTGCATGATCCTTTGAGGCTTGCACAGCGCCCTCCTCATTTTCTCTTTTCTCCTAGACTTTAAGAGGCGAACGTGGTTTTTCCATGACAGCTAAATTCTGATCTCCGGTGTTCCTTCTAGCCCAAATATCCTGTTCCTCATACCTGCTGCCACAGTTCCTCAGTGGCTAAGTTGAAAAAATAATCAAAAAAAAAAAAAATCCATTCTTCCAATATGAAAAATATGTGTATAGAATTGTGGCCCCAAACTATTCAAGTGGTATAGGTGAAAAATGTTACTTCTTCAGGGCTTGACAAGTAATAGTCTTTAGTCTCAATTTAATTAGTCTTTATTGAGAACCCACTGACTACATAGTGTGCTGGTATTTGAGGGGAAAGTGGGTCACGTCCTTAGCATTGTTATTTTCACTCATGTGCTCCTGCTCACTGTCCGTGGGGAAGACTAGATATCAGAATGTTAGATGGAGCGCCATCAAGGAAAGGGGGTGATTGGGAGAATCAAGGGCAGCCAGAGAAAGTGTCATGGCAGAGATGTTAGTCTAACTCAATCTCAATAAGCAGAAAAGGGGTTGTGGTGATGGGCAAATCTGGAGAGACCTTGAAGACTCTTTATCATTTATGAGTACCTTCCCCTGCAAATAACAGAGAACTCAAAAAACAGTCACTTCAACAAAATGGAAGTTGGTTTCTTCTCATAAGGTAAATCTGAGGCCAGGTGGTCCAGGCCTGGCATAGCGGTTTCAAGTCATCAGGGACTTGGGCTCCTTCTCTTTTTCTGTTCCACCATTCTTAGTCCTCGGCTCCATTCCCAGAGTCACTTCCTTGTCACAATATGGCTGCCACAGTACAGCCCTCACATCTGTGTTCTAGGCAGCCTGAAGGAGGAAGAACCAAAACCAAGAAGGAGTACCTCCTAGATGAGTCTTTCTGGAAACCTCACCATTGACGTCTACTCATATTTCATGGGCCACTCCACACTATAAGCAAGTCTAGGAAAGGTAGTCTACTGGCTCAGCTTGTTGCTGCCCACATGAAATTGTGGTGGTTTATAAGAGAGAGAGAAGGGATATTTGGTAGACAAAGAGCAGGCTCTTCAGGGAGTCTAAAGTGAGTTCAAGTGGTAATTTGATGGCCTCTGTGCATGTACTGCTTCCCACCCGGCTATGAGATGAGCCTCAAGGGTGTTCTGGAGGGACAGTTCAATCCTAGATAAGGGAGGGGCAAAATAGAATCCAGAAGAAATAAGTCTGTGGTAGAGATTTGAATGTTTCCACTTTATAAACATGAGTTTATCACAAGGTATCAAGGAACAGCACATGAATCTGAAAAACAAGAGAGAAGACATTTCTTTCTCTTCTTTCTTTCTACTTCCTCTCCTCTTCCTCTTCTCTCTCTCTCTCTTCACCTTTCCCTGAGTTTGACATATGCTATATCAAAGACTTTCCTATTTCTACTCATTTTACCCTCTGGCTGTAGCGAGGTTATCTCCCATCTCCAGTGGGGAAGCCCCAGGCCTCAGCGGCTCAGGAAGATGAAAGCTTTCAAGTGAACCACAGGCTGGAATTACTTTGTCTCTGACTAAGAGCCCAGTTTTGGCAACCCAAAGACTCAGTGGTTTCATTTCCCTAGCCACACATCCTTAATACGGTTTCCAAAAAAATCATGTTGTCTGTTTAAAGACGTCCTTCATTTCAGGAGAAATACGCAGACTCCCTTTAATTGGCTCTTCCCCCGTAGTCTCCAGAATATTTTTCCCTAGGGCTTTCTCCATAGGACAGTTTTATTTCATTAGAAGTGAGGTGGACATCTCTTTCTGTCTCTCGAATTCTATCTTTTCAAGTCTTCTGCGTTACTTAACCAGTAATGTTTACCGCTGAGCTCCGTGCACAAAGTTCCGTGGACACTAGATCAGTTAGGACAGATCTGTGCTGCCAGGGAACTTGCTGATACACAGACTGACAGACAACAACACTACACTCCGCTTGCCAGAGCTGGGGGTACAGAGGGTGCAGCAGGAGCACAGGATGATTTCTGAGCATCAGGAAAAGCTTAAAATGGGTGGAAACTTTTACACAAACACATAAAGGCAAACAGGGCTGTGTTGTGGATTATGGAAATAAGTACAAGTACAGGCACTTGGCCTTGTACATATGGAAAGAAAAAAGAAACAGATCCCATGGGAGCTCTTGGGCAAGTGTACCATGTGGTTTTGAGTCCCGAGATGTCAAACCAAAGGGCCTGAGGTTTGAGATGTTCAAACCTCAGAAGAAAGGGACTCCCCTGTTCTGTATCACTAGATTCTTTTTTTTATCCTTTCTTTTCTTTAAAGATTTATTTATTTATTTGAGAGAGAGAGTATGAGCAGGAGGGGTAGAGGGAGACAGAATCTCAAGGAGACTCCACGCTGAGCACAGAGCCCGACACAGGGCTGGATCCCACAATCTTGAGATCATGACCTGAGCTAAAACCAAGAGTTAGATGCTCAGTCTGTCGACAGTGCCACCCAGGTGGCCCCATCACTAGATTCTTTTTTTTTTTTAAAGATTTTATTTATTTACTTGAGAGAGAGAATGAGAGAGAGAGAGAACATGAGAGAGGGGAGGGTCAGAGGGAGAAGCAGACTCCCTGATGAGCAGGGAGCCCGATGTGGGACTCGATCCCGGGACTCCAGGATCATGGCCTGAGCCGAAGGCAGTCGCTTAACCAACTGAGCCACCCAGGCACTCCCCCATCACTAAATTCTTAATGGCAGAAGTCTGCAAAGTGCTGCTCATTATCCGTGGGTCTTACAGAGATGTGGAATTGGCTGCCCCCAAAGCATTTTCTTCCCAGGGAATTCCAGAGCTCTAGCCATGGAATTGAGCCAACGGGCAAACTTTTTCCTTGACGCAGAATCAGATTAAAAGTATGCGTAAGCCAGCTGCCCATCACACCTGAAATAAAATCCAAAGACCCCACCACAGCCTCCATGGCCCCACAGAATCTGCCCCTTCCGAGCTCTCTGACCTCACCCCCACCATTCGTCGCCTTGTTCATTTCACCCGGGTCACCCTGGCCTTCCTGCTGTTCCTTGAGTATGCCAAGCCTGCTCCTACCTCAGGGCATTTGCACATGCTATTCCTGCTATCTAAATACCACTTCTCTCCCAGTTATTCATTGGCATCTCCCTCATTCTATTCCGCTCAAGTGATTTCTCAGTAGACTTCTCTGGCCGCTAGTCTGAAATGGTGTTTCCATCCCAATTTACCCCTTCATGCTACTGCAGAGTTCCTCATGACACTTATCTGGCCTGATATTACTCAGTAGTTGATTTATTTACCTATGACCTGCCTCCTACTACTGACCAGAATATAAAGACTCTTTCTCCTTTATCCAGTGCTGCGTCATCCCCTGTGCCTTAGACACAGCCAAGCACAAGAGAGGTGCTTCATGAGGATTTGGGAACCCCAGCTACTCCAGAGTGGTATTGTTTCCATTGAATCTCATGGTCTTTTCCTTCTACTTCTGCATTAACAGCCCAAATTCTCTCTGTTTAGGACTAAGGGAAGGGAAGTTACTCTGTTGTCTTCAGTTAAGCTTACTCTAGATAGAAAAGGAAGGAAGGAAAGGAGGGAAGGAGAAAGGAAAGGGAAGATAAAGAGAGGGAGGGGTGGAGGGAGAAGGAGAGAGAGAGAAAGGTAGAATCCCATTAAAGTTGAGGAAAATTAGTGTGTGCCAGGCATCTCCCCTATGCCCCACCCCCTGCACTTGGATTTTGATAAACTCAATGAAACCCCGCTTAAAGTGGAGGCCATGAATTTGCTGTGAGCAGTAGGGACCTAAAGCAGAGAGAATATGTAAAACACAAGGCCAATAAAGCATCTTTCCATACCAGCATAAGACTCAACAGTGATACCCCAGTAATTCTCATGAGTTTGGGAAGCAGAGAGGTGTAATTTTGCTTATAGTCACAGCTGCAGGTAATGGGGAACATTCTGCTGTGATGCCATTTTGATTTATTCATGGAGCAAACCGAATTTATTCAAATATTTAACCATCCAACAAATATTTATTACTTAACTGCTATGGGTCAGGCAGTGCTGGTGTTTGTAGAGAACAGGAAGGCGCACATGATGCACATTGCAATGAGAAAGAGAGAACCAAAACCAAAATTATAAGAACATAACTGGCCTGTTTTAGAGGGAAGTTTGGGAAGCGATGAGAGCAGAAACAAGGACCCATTCCAGACCTGAGCAAAGGGAAAGAAGGATATAAGAGAAGGCTTTTTGGAAGACATGACACTTGGCCGAGTCCTCAAAGAGGAAAAGAAGAAAGGAAGTACAGAAGGGGGTAATGACGTTTCCAGCAGGAGGAACAGCATGTGAGAAGTTCCCAGGCATGAGCAACTTCGTATTAGTGAAACACAAGCTGTCCAGTCCTGCTCTGTGATGGAGCGAGAGAACAGCAAGGTGTGGGGTTGGAGACATCATCAGAGGGCAGTGAATATCGTGCTAAGGGGCTTGGACTCCATTCTTGACAGTGATAAAGAGTCACTGAAAAGTTTTCAGGCAGGCAAGGCTTTTAATTTTAATTATCTTGACTTTACAAGATGAGATCAAAGCAATTAAATCTACCCTGTGGGGTCCTCAGGCTTGAATTTGGCCATCCACCTGCTGTCGGAGAATCACTCTCTTCCATCAGTGAACACTGAAAGTGAATTCCTAATCAGCTAGCATTTGGTAATTACCATCTACAAGATGGTGGAAGATTTAAAGTTGGCATATCTGAAGATTTAAAGTTGGCACAGCCAGAAATTCCTCCAGGCCAGCTGGTCAACCCCCCATGAGCATAGAAATGGGATTTCAAATTCTGATTTCCCAGGCCCACTGACATTGTTCAGAGGGTAGATGCCAGTGCACAGCTGTAAGAAAAAGACAACAGCCTTTTCATAAAGAAATGCCAAGAAATGCAGCGTGGAACTCTACAGCGGAAACACTGGGCTTCTGGACGGTAAGGCCAACAGTGTGTCATTTGCTGTTGAAATGGAGAGTCTGCATTTGTGTGAAACTTCTTAGTCCCCACCTCCGCTATTGCCCACTGTATTTTTATTCATATCATTCCCTCTAATTTCATAATTATCTCTTTCCCTTCAATTTATCTATCAATTCCATTCATTTAAGTTACACCTCTTACTTAATGACTAGCATTTGTTTAGTGAAAGGATGGGGTGGGGGGGCACCAGCAGCACCCATGAAAGAAACAGTCACAGCACGGCTCACTCAAGATAAACTGATACTCTTTCTTGACCTGCTTATCAAAAAAAAAAAAATATATAGAAGAATAGTCAAAGGTTTTGGTAGAAATATCACCCTGATTATTACTTTTTACTGAGCAACATGACGTTATGTGAAAATCACTCTGTGAAAAGAACGGAAGAAGCAGGGCATGAGGGGTGTGTCGTATAATAGTGTCAGCGACATAGAAAAAGAAGCCGATCCAAAGAGAAAAGATGGTTCTCCTCAGGAAGACATAGTTCCCGCTGCGCATCCCCTCCTGTTCTCTCTCTGTCCATCTTTACTGCAAGAGCTTTCAGAAACCACCCATAGGCCACTTCTCCCTGCCCCAGGTAGGTTACTCTCCTCACCTGTCCTGCAACAATGGTTCTTGACATTGTTTTCATGAGGGGGAAAAAAAAGGCTTTATGTCTGAATTAGAGAGACGGCTAAAAAAGCAGTTAGCTGATAAGGAAAGACAAGGACTTAATTCACAGAAAGAGGAAAATTGTCCATGCCATCCAAGTTCCTGACAAGCAGTTCTGACAGCGGGAGGGGAAAAAAAGAGAAAAGTGGAATGAGTCATAGGGGGCATTTGTGGATGAGAGGATTGATTTCCTTAAGCTTAAAGAGTTGCCTAGATTGGTTTTTGTCCTAGATCATGCATGAGAACTACTAGAATATTCGAAAAGGACACTCTCCTGATTTTAGTTGTGCTGAAATCCTAAGGTCAAGGACGACGACTGTTACATCTGGAGCACTGCTCTTGGCCTCACAAGGGCCAGTGGGTTTAAGGATGGCTGACTCTCCCTTTCTTTTCCCCAAATGAGATGTATCGAGTCCTCTCTTTCTCATCACAGTCACATTTGTATGGTTAAGAACTGCTTCGGATGAGCTTCAGGGCATGAATTTGGGTTATATGAGGAGCCCGTAGAATGTAGTTCAAGATGAGGTATGGCCAGCATTTTCTGTAAAGGGCCAGATAGTAAATATTTTAGACTTTTCAGGCCATAAGCTTTCTGTCACAACTATTCAAGGGTGCCTTTAGCATAAAAGCAGCCATCAATAACACATGAATGAACAAGCATGGGCTATGTTCCAATAAAACTTTCTTTTAAAAAAAAAAAAGATTTTATTTATTTATTTGACAGAGAGAGACACAGCGAGAGAGGGAACACAAGCAGGGGGAGTGGGAGAGGGAGAAGCAGGCTTCCCGCGGAGCAGGGAGCCCGACGCGGGGCTCGATCCCACGACCCTGGGATCATGACCCGAGCTGAAGGCAGACGCTTAACGACTGAGCCACCCAGGCGCCCCTCCAATAAAACTTTATTTACACACCAAAATTTGGATTTCATTTGAATTTTCATATATCATGAAACATTCTTCTTTTTGGATTTTTGCCCCAACCATTAAAAAATATAAAAACTGTTGTTAGCAGTTCCTTACCAAAATAGGGAGCAGGCCAGATTTGACGCTCAGATCATAGTTTGCAGACCCCTGTTCCAGATCAAACAAGATTTGCAGGAGTGCAAGCTTTGTCAATATCAAACATTAAGGAAGAACTTTTTTTTTTAAAGATTTTATTTATTTATTTAATTGACAGAGAGAGAGAGAGCGTGAGAGGGAACACAAGCAGGGGGAGTGGGAGAGGGAGAAGCAGCCTTCTGGCCGAGCAGGGAGCCCGATGCGGGGCTCGATCCCAGGACCCCGGGATCATGACCTGAGCTGAAGGCAGTCGCCCAACCAACTGAGCCACCCAGGCGCCCCAGGAAGAACTTTTCCCAGAACTTGGAAAAGTCTGAATTAAATAGATTCTTGAAAAGAAACATTTTTCCCTCAGAAAGGATATCTTCAATCCAATCAAGCTAGGATTTTCAGGTTAGGGCCGTGCTTTAACGCGCACATGGGGCTCTTTTGAAACCAGTAGCCAATGGGAGGCATAAATAGAGAAACATTTGTTCTTTTAAATGAGCTCGAGGCAGTTCTTGCTCTGTTTACAGGATCCATTTCCAGAGAAAATCCTTTCTTCCGAGGTCACGCAAAGCCCACTTAAACTCAGCCCTGGGCAAATTATCACCGGGAAGGCATATTCAGACAGGTGTTATTGCTGTACTTTGTGTGTTCAGGAGATGAATGAAGATGGCACCTTTGGTTTTAATTGAGCTTGATAAGCTCTGTTTGTCCCAGGCCTTAGTCTTTCTCTCCAGTAAGGGACGGTTTTGCAAAGACTCCTCCCCTTCCTCAGTACAGCCTTACTTGGACCGTGTTAATTTATCTCTGCTCTTCCTGAAGTGGTTTTATGTAAACTGACTTGAGCCCTGGAAACTGACAAAAATCTCAGCATAGAGACTACAAAACAAACCTCCCAGACAAGATTGAGGAAGCATGAAAAGGAAGGGAATTAATAGGAGCCAATTTTCTCAAAATACAGAAGGCTGAGCAGCTTAGACCAAAAATCCTGAGAATAGCCAGAGGCTGTTCCTTATGATGTCATCCTTATGATGACAGACACTTTCCAAAATGGAAACTGAAGCCTAGAGCACTACTAACATGGATGTGTAGAGTTTTCTAGATCCACAGGACACTGGTCAGTAGGAAAATACCATTTCCAAAAGACACACCCAAAGAGGCAACAGGGCAAAATAAGTATCATATTGAGTTTTCTGTTGATGTTTTGATGTCGACAGCAGCGCTAGGGGATGCAGTGAGAGAAGCCTGGTGCTCAGCCCCGCCCCAGCCCCCACCACAGACCTTTCAGCACTGGTAATGGGTTTGCCATTTCTGCGTTCCCAGAAGGAAAGGGGTTTGAGGAACAGTTTAACTGACCCATCTCTGTCATTATTCAGGCCATGCCCCTGAACTGGAAAACCTCACCGTGGCCGAGGCTGGCTGGGATGGCCTCAAACTCAACTGGACCGCAGCTGACCAGGCCTATGAGCACTTTGTCATTCAGGTGCAGGAGGCCCACAGGATGGAGGCAGCTCAGAACCTCACGGTTCCCGGCAGCCTGCGGGCTGTGGACGTCCCGGGCCTCAAGGCGGCCACCCCTTATAGAGTCACCATCTATGGGGTGATCCGGGGCTATAGGACACCGGTGCTCTCCGCCGAGGCCTCCACAGGTACCTCTCTCTCACTCCTCTGTTTCTAGCTTCTGTGGTCCCTAACAGGAAACTACCCACGGGTCATCAGACACAGCTCACTTTTGAATGGACTTCTTCTGCCCCAAGTTACAGCACTGTGGTGTCTAATAAAGGGGAGCCGTCGGGCTGTACGACTCCCCGGGCACCTTTGACACTGCACCCTATGTGAACCACACCCTTTGGGGTTGTGCAGAGCCCTGCCTGGGGACTATCCACACAGCCCCAGCGGCAGGGATCTTTAGCTTCGCAAAGAGACTCCCTCCTGGTAAGGGATGTGAAGGTCATTATATTTAAAAGGAAAGGGAAAAATCAGAAAATTAATCTCCCTGCCCACTGAAGGTTGGGGCAATTCTTGAATAAAATAAGATGACAAATATTTTTCTATACCTCATGTTCTTTGCTCTATTTCTCGAATTCAGGAAGCTGCATGATGCATGTTTATCTAAAGACAGTCCTATATTTTTAGGTAATCTAAAGCCTACTCTGGTGTCCAAGATTCCCTGAATCTTGCTGTGCGTGATTTGATCATTAAACTCCATTCTTTGTCCTTCTCCAGGGGAAGCTCCCAGTTTGGGAGAGGTCACGGTGTCCGAGGTGGGCTGGGACGCCCTCAGACTCAACTGGACTGCTCCGGAAGGAGCCTACGAACAGTTTTTCATTCAGGTGCAGGGGACTGACATGGTAGAGGCAGCCCAGAACCTCACAGTCCCAGGAGGACTGAGGTCCGTGGACCTGCCTGGGCTCAAAGCAGCCACCCATTATAGCGTCACCATCCGTGGGGTCACGCAGGACTTCAGCGCGACTCCTCTCTCTGTTGAAGTCTTGACAGGTATTCCAGACTAGCTCATTACTCTGCTTCCTCCCTGTGTCTCTGCTTGGGACAGATCAGAACTCTTCCTGCTGTAAGCTGGGCTCAGCCCCAGCCCCACTGGGGAATACCGGTGAATCATCCCCGCTTCCCTCCAAATGTCACATCCCTTATTTGGCCAAGTCGTAGTCTAGCGTGGTAGCCAATTCCATGGAAAATTCCACCTACTCTTCCCTTACAAAAGTGAGAGGTGGCTTTTCTTTCAAAGCAAGTTTCAGTCATAATAGCTAAGGAATTGGAAAGCACAGTTTGCAAGTGGAAAAAAAGGGGTCTGAGCTCATTTTAAGAACACACCAAGGTTCCCCAAAGCCCCATTTATACGTTAAGAATGGAAGTTATGAACAATTCCTAGAACTATCTTTCATTCCCAGAGACTGAAGAGAAAAACCCTGGCTTTAGTGCCAATAGTCAGAGGGAGTGTGCTCAACACCTGCTGTAGGTCATGCATCTGTAATCAACACTAACCAGACAACTCATCCCAACCTCAACCAAAGTGTCATCTTACCTGAACCCCGGCATGCAATTACCTTTTTTTAGTAACTCAGCAACTCTGTGTCCTCATGCAGAGGAGGTTCCGGATCTGGGAAACCTCACAGTGACTGCGGTCCACTGGGATGGCCTCAGTCTGGACTGGACTGCCCCCGATGGGATCTATGAGCAGTTTATCATTGAGATCCAGGAGGCAGACCAGGCCAAGGGAGCTCACAGTCTCACGGTTCCTGGCAGCCTGCGCTCTGTGGACATCCCAGGCCTCAGGGCCGGAACTCCTTACACGGCCACCCTGCACGGCCAGGTCAGAGGCCGCAGCACTCCACCCCTTGTTGTGGAGGCCGTCACAGGTATAGGACCCTCCTTCCACACCAGGGACGTGACTGAGCCAACCTCTCTTTGGAATCGAGAACATTCCCCATGCATCAGAGTTTTATTCAATATTCCTGACAGGCAGTGCAAACGCAAGTTCGAACTCAGGGAGGTCTGGGTTGGAATTCCACTTTCCTGGCTGGATGTTCTTGGGTCTGTCGTTTGACTTTTCTCACCTTCAATTTGGAGAAAATACCCCACCTCAGAACATTGTCCTGAGCAGTGAATGAAACCATGACCAAAAGTGCTTAGCAAAGTTCCCATCCTGTGGTAAATACTGAACAGCAAATAGGTAAATATATCAGGTAGCAATGTATCCTAATGAAAATAGCAGAAACAGTAGGGCTGTGGCACAAGAATAAGGTCAGAACTTTCTAGAGAAATCTTATCACGAGTGGCCTCAGAGTCACTGACTGCCGTCCAACTTGTAGTACATCACTATGGAATAAGCTTTGAAGTGATGTGGCCATCTGCAGCCGAAACTGTCCGAGCCTCTCTCCCCTTAACAGATACTCAGGGCAGCAAGCACATTTCCAAGAAAGAAAAGCCACATTTGACTTCAATGTTTTTCATTCAGTTTGGGGAGGAAAAACAATTTATCTCAATTTGTTCCCTGGAAATAATGCTGTTCCATCTGTTATAGGAAATGCTATGCTGTTTGTGAGGTGTTTAGAAACAGCCTTAAAAAGAGCAAATGGGCCAAATTTTTGGTAGGGTTTTTATGCTGGGCCCTCAGTCCATACCTTTGCCTATACATCCTGTGTTTTGATAATACCACCCAAATAACCTAATTCAAATAAATTGTTCTTCTTGCTCGCATATACCAAGTAAATTTGGTCCTTGCTAGAAACTACACACAATTCCAAAACTGAGAAAAGCGATGTCACAATCCACCAAAGTTGGCAGACCAAATGAGCAAAAAGGGCTTTTGAGGCCCATGTGATCTGGATGCAGGATGCTAGCGGTCTCTACCTATAGTATGTAAACTTTTGTTTTGAGCAACAGAACTCCTTTTGCCCCACTTCATGACAGGTAAATGGACAGCTCTTCTCGGTGAGCTAGGGAGACAGAGGGGACTTCCTGCACTGATACCCCCCAAAAGCACCAAGGTCATGTGGTACAGCTTGAATCAGCCCCTCTAACAGGCTGAGTTTGCTCAGACTCTCACAGTACACTGAGTCCTGAAATACCTGAGAATAAGTACCTCGGGCGCACCTTTTTTGTGGCTGAAGTCCCTACAGATACTTCCTTTTCTAACTTCGAATCCATGGCCCCTTCAGCCTGTTAAAAGAGAAAAGTCTGAGAGATTGCATTTAATCCTGAGAGGTGTTCCACTAAGCAGTGGGTTTTGCCATGTTCAGAATCCAGACTTCCTAAATCAGCAAAAAGAACTACGTTAAATTTCCTTCCTACGTGGTAGAAAGATAAATAGTGGGCCCTGCTATGCACCATTTACCGAGCAAAACATAATCACTTTTAATTAAAAGTGGGCACTCATCTTGCACAAATGGCTTTGCTTCATGATGCAGACATTCTTTATCCAGGCACGGAGTCCTCGCAGAAGGTGGGAGGGAAAGAGCCGAGCCAAGAATCCAGCACAGAACATTTGATCCCTGAAAGCCGAGTAGAGTCCAGAGATAAAACAGCAGACTTGTCCAGACTGAGACAGCGTATACTTTATAAAGCCAGTCCGATAGTAGGCAGCCAGCAATAAGACAGTCCCTCCAACGTGAAGTCATGAAAGAGACAGATAATTGTCTCCAATATGGCTGAGAAGTGCCAAGGGGAAGCATCTAAACAATGGTGTATTTGTTGGGCTGCCACTTACTGGGCACTCACTGTGGGTCAGGTATGACACTCAGGGGTTTTATAAATGGTATTTAGCCATCACACGGTCCAATGATAGGGCACTGTCAGCTCCCTGTAGGGTGAGACTCGGGAACGGGCTGAGTGATAGGTTCAAGACTACCCGGGGGGTAAATGTTGTTGGAACTCCAACCAAGGCTCAGCTGCCTGCAAAGCCTGCACTTTTAACCCTCCCAACCCCCCTTACCCTGACCCACAATCCCACTTTTCCAGCTGCCCTTTAGGTTCTGGCCATGCATGCCCAGAGACCTCCCAGGTGGGCTTATTCAGTGGTCCGCCGGATAGCATTGCCATCTCAAGGATGAACCATGCGGATCTTCCCCTCTCTGACCATTTTCAACTCCTGAAGAAAGCTGTGGCCAGGTTACAGCTGTTCAAGCTGCAAATAAACGCCCAGAGACCAAGAAGGACCACACATACCCACAAAAATTCTCGCTCCTCTTCTGTCTTCCCTAGAGCTGGGCTGTGGGACGTTTGGTTTCCTCCTTTTGTGGTTTGCGGAACTGACAAATACCTCTCTGTCCTTCTTCAGAGGAGCTCCCCCAGCTGGGGGACTTAACCGTGACCGAGGCTGGCTGGGATGGCCTCAAACTCAACTGGACCACAACTGACCAGGCCTATGAGCGCTTTGTCATTCAGGTGCAGGAGGCCAACTGGGTGGAGGCAGCTCAGAACCTCACGGTTCCCGGCAGCCTGCGGGCTGTGGACGTCCCGGGCCTCAAGGCTGCCACCCCTTATAGAGTCACCATATACGGGGTGATCCGGGGCTATAGGACACCGGTGCTCTCCGCTGAGGCCTCCACAGGTACCTTCCTCCCCACTGCCGATGCCCCTCCCCAAGCCTCCCTGCCTGCTTCCTCTCCAAGAGACTGTGCAGAAAGTCAGCTTTTCTCCATGTCCGAGTCCTTCCCTTCTGTCGCCTAGTGGCTGGCGTGCATGCTCAGAGACGTCCCTGTGAACTGTGCCTTCGTCTACAAGCCTCTGCCATTTCGAGAATGAATGATACAGATGTTGCCTTTTCTGACCTCCAGCCTTCAGCCTCTCCCAGCCTTTACCTAGTCTTACCACTTTCTGTTCCAGGAGACAGCCGGATGGTTTTAATTCTCTTCTCCAGGGCTGGAATATAACTAAAAGCCGCCCCTTGCCATGTGTGAGTTCCGGTTGAGCACAGATTATTTACTTTAGAGAGTCCTTTTGCTAGTTGGAAATGGTGCTTTACTATCCCAAATCCCTCAAGGGTATGGGCACTGTGGTTCTTGCATTTAAAAGAAATGTTTTAATTTAAATGTTTCTTTAAAATGCGCTGAGTATAATGAGAGAACTGAATTACCCTCCTCTGGGCAATTCTCTCAGAGATACTGAGTCATTGTTAGAACCCCAAATTAGCAAATAGCTAGACCAAAAAGGAAAAAAAAAAAATCACACAATTATGACTGGAGACAGTACCAAAGAAAAAACCATTCATTAGAAGTCCACACAGCAGCGTTTGAAGCAAGGAATGTCCCAGGCTATGAATGTCAAATCTCTGATGCCCTTTTTTGCTCTCTTAATCAAGAGGTGCTCCCTGGAGTTTTGGCCTTGGCGTGGTTCACTCCCAGCGCCCACCCAGGACCGTGCGTTAAACTTGACCTGTCCCGCCGCTCCAGCGGCAAGGCATTCAGAAGCCCCCAGGAGCCTGCAACAGTGAGCAGCCTTCCCCAACGCTGTTTCCCATCTCTCCCCTTCCGACATGCCTCCACTAGGTGGACGCTCAGCAGAGCTGTCATGTTTGGTTCTGCGGGGACCTGCCCCACTTTTAGATAATTACTACCACTAAACTTCCATACAAACCCATGCAACCTCCTTGATCCTAGCAAAAGCATAGCTCTGCATTTTAGCCTCGATCATTTCAATCATTCTGGCCGAGATAAACATAATACAGACAGCCACTGTATGAATGATGACCTTGAAATGCCCAGAAATTGCAACTGAGGTGCCCTGGATGGATCCAGGGCCCTTTGATCTGACATAGGGATCATAAATCACCCCTTCCCAGAAGGCAAGAGAAATCACCTGCCATTTCTGATCTTTCCTGCAGATCTTATGGTTTGGGTGCCCTTAGTACTCGTGTGTGTGTGTGTGTGTGTGTGTGTTTCTTTTTAATGATAGCAACAGTCTTGTTTCTGATGAATTGGTAGGAGGGGAGAAGGGTTGTAATTCCATCTGATCTGTGTGTCACTACATCTGATGGGATGGGAAGGCCTTCTCCTTCCCTGCTAGAGAAGCAATACTAGCTCTTCCCACCCTGCTTCTGCCTGCCTTCCGCCTGTTTTATTCCTGCTGCATGATAAAGCGATTATGCACTGGTAGGACCGTCTCCCAGACAGAATGCTATTTCTTGGCCGAACAGGGTGACCTGAATGCCTTGCATCGGCTCAGCTCTCCTGGTTGGCAATGCAGTAGTGGCTTTCTTGGCTCACGGAGAAGCAGTTAAGAGAGAACGAGCTATTCCAACAGAATATGAAAACAGCCGGCCCTTGTCAGGAGTATGAAGACAATACCAAGAACCACACTGACGAGTTGCCAGTTTCCTTTAAGTCACAAAAGCAGAAGCCTCAAGGTACCACCTTGGGAGGGTAACGGCATCAGAATTACTTAGTCTTCATTTAAATAGATGGGAGCTCCCTCGAAGCAAAGGATGACCCCAGGAGGGAGCCAACTTGGGGTCTCCTGAGTGCAATTCAAGAGACTGGGAGCTGCCGGCATGCCCATCTTTTGAGCAATGGCCAGCATCCCTGCGGTGGGGCTCCCCTGGAGCATCTGAGCTTAGGCACCACAGTTCCTGCTGACATCATTTAGACGGCTTCTCACATGCAGGATCTCAGCCAGCCTGATCACGTAAGGCAGCTCCAGAGCAGGGAAATCCAACTGCCCAATCTTCCTTTTGGTCTTCTCCTGTTAACAAACCCCCCCTCTTCCTTTCTCATCAGCACTGCTGGGTAACACCTGCTGCATTTCACCATAACACTGAACCGGCAGATCCTTCTACCTAGCTGTGGTTCTATTAACAACCTCAGTCTTAAAACACAAGCCAAATCATTAACCCCTGATTTTTTTTCTTCTCTCCTACCTCCCTTTTCAGCCACAGGACCTGAAATTGGAAACTTAACTGTTTCTGACATAACTCCTGAGAGCTTCAATCTCTCCTGGACAGCCACCGATGGGGCCTTCGAGACCTTTACCATTGAAATTGTTGATTCCAATAGGTTCTTGGAGACGATGGAATATAATATCTCTGGTGCTGAACGAACTGCCCACATCTCAGGGCTACACCCTAATAATCATTTTGTTATCTACCTCTCGGGACTTGCTCCCAGCATCCGGACCCAAGTCATCAGTGCCACGGCCACCACAGGTACATCTGCTTTCTCCAGTGTCTGACACCCTCTCTCCAGGTTTCCAGAATCTTCTTTGCAAGGTGAAGCCGCTCCTTCTTGCCCACTGAGGCACAAACCATAACGCATTGAACCCCTCCAGGATGCGAGACTGGAGCACTGCTTAACATAACTCTCTTCCAACAGCAGCCCAAATGGTGGATTTCCATGAAGCCCCTTGCCTGATCTATTACTGACCAGGACATGTGCAGCCTTAAATGTAGTCTGGTCCAGATTGCCATATGGAATCTGGAGAAAAGAATTCTGCCCTTCCGTACCTAAAAAGCCAGAGTTGTCCTTGATTTGGAAAGATGTCTGCATCAGTCAAAGAGGTCTTAAAAATTATATTTTGTGTTACCCTAGTATCTTTGGCCTCTAAATACCCAAGTATCCCAATGATTTAATGAAATTGTGTTGGTGCTATTTTTTTTTCAACTGCAAAAATGTTAAAAAAAAAAAAAAAAAAAGCAGATTACTAATCAGATGGGTGCACAAGGAAGTGGTACCATCCGGAACGCCTGGATTCCATCACGACCTCTGGGAGCAAAGACCTGAGCATGCTGTCTTGCCCCCAGAGAGTGAATGGTTGATTTCAAAAGTGGAAGTAGTCATGTTTAAATAAGGAACTTGGTCAACCAAAGCATAAGCTGCTCTTATTTAAATTTGTAGTGTCTGTGGTAATACATACTACATGAGATGCTCTCTGGCATGCAGCAAAAGAGAATTCTCTATCTGAATTTAGAAAGGAGAAGCTTATCCATTCAAAAGAGCATTCTTAGCACATTTTGGACAGTGAATCAGTGAATCCAAGAAAAGAGTTCACATCATAGCATCAAAATCATCTATCACTTAGCCACCCATGGCAGAGGGAGGGTCTGTCCTCATTCTACGTGAGACTACAAATTGTCAGCAGGGTGCTGGAGCGGTCGGCCCCACCAGATTCAAGTACACTGAGACCTAGAGAAGAAAACCACCCAACCCCATCCATTCATTTCTCATGGCTCAAACTGGGCTTCAACAAAGGACCAGTGCCTTTATCAAAGGATGAAGTCTAAAACTTTATGGATTTAGTCTTACGTGTTTTGGTTTTTGACTCTGGAACCATGTTTTAAACTGATGCGCTTTCATTATTTTTTTTTTCTGCTTGCTTTAGTAGCCGAACCTCTCCTCAGCCACCTCACTATCTCAAATGTGACCTGGGCCAGTGTGTCCCTCTCGTGGAAAGCCCAGGAGGCTACCTTTGATAGCTTTCTTATAGAAGTTAGGAATTCTGACCCCCACCAGGAGACGGTGGTGCATTCTGTGCCTGCAGCATCTCGCAGCTCTGTCATCACCAACCTCAAAGCTTCTTCTAATTACACTGCCCACCTTCACGGGCTGATTGGCGGGCACCGTGTTCAGACTCTGATGGCCCAGGCAACCACAGGTATTTCCCACGACGGCTTCTTCTCTCTCCATTAAACTTTCTCTGAGGATCATTCAAAAAAAAAAAAAAAAGAAAAATCACTCGCTACCCATTTTTCATCCTCCTAGTTCCTCCAGATCGTTCTCAAATTTGATAGAGCCACCCAAATCAGAGCCTTAAAACTTAAAAAAAAAAAGCTCTCACCCCAAATTACGGAACTTCAATGTCAACCTCTTTTTCCTAAATAGGCACTCACATCTGGAGTTGCTCTGTGTTTGTATAGAGTTAACCTGACTTGCTTTGGTTGAATTTTAAATCATCCTTCCATCTGATCTTGAATAATCGTTTCCAGTTCCACCCATTATCATCTGCCTGTGGTCTAATCAGAGTTTGCCTATGTCATATTCAAAGAGGTGCATGCATGCCGGTTTTGGTCCCCTGATCAGAATGTTCTACCCCTTTCTCTCCCTCTTTCTCTCCCCCAAGATTCTAAAAAGCAGTGCCAGTAGCATGCAGAGAAAAGACCCTAACACACGTGAGAGGACCCAGTGGTCTCATCGTGTTCTTGGGACTTCTATTTGCTTGCCTTCCCTACAAACCGACTGTTCTCTTTTGACATTTACCCTATGAAGCATGCTTTGTCATCTACTGACACCTGTCACGAAATGTCAGTCTTCTTTCATCTGTCATCTTGTCCAAATCTTGGTGCATGTGGTGAACTGAGCATTGTTCAGAGCATTAAATCTCTGAAAAGATCTGTGTTTCCTGGAAGTAGACAGCATGTCCAGGAATTGTTTTGAAGGGTCAGAACTGGGGAGGGAAAGATGTCCCAGCTTGCATGGAACACTGCTCCTACCTTCCCTCTCTGTCTCTCTCAGGTTCTTCTTGCTCCTCACTTTTCAGCTTGGCCTCACCCTTTGGGAGAGAGCTGGAGGTCAAGCTGGCCATGAGAATCCAGGTCTTACTCTGCATGGTGAATGTGTTCCCACTGCCAGTCTCTGTCCGGGAGCATGAGAAGAGTCCTAACATGCATCCTTACTTGGAGAGATTGCTCCCACAGCAAAACACAGGGAAAGAGCAAACAGAGGCCTATTTGGAGGGTTCTACCTTTAGTGTGGTTGAAGTAATTTGCCAACGTTGTGGCTAAAAATTACAGCATCGTTAGCTTCTCAAATGAGTTGCTAAGAAGGAGATCCCGGGCTGTCCCTTACAGCTATATTCTGCTTCTGAGCCAGATCCTTGTTGCCCTTGGAGACTTTGTGGCATCGAATTATACTGTGCAATTGTCCAGTTAAAGTTTCTCCAGGTGAGCCCCTTCTTTCCCCCTAACCCTGGAGCTCCAGGCACACAGCTCCCAAGTCCCTGGAGGAAATAGTCTGCTTCTCTTCCTAACCCTAAAGGCTGGCCCTGGTACCTCAAGCCTCCAGGACTGCTGCCTCTTTCTAAAATACAGTTGGAGTTGAACTTATTTTAGTGGTAGTATGACTTGATAAGTGTGCATTGAGGAGGTCAGACCATCTACATTCCAGCTGAAACTAGCAGTGCAGGCCTCCTACATTAAAAATGAGTTCCCTTCATCACTGATCTCCTAGTCCTTCAAGGAGAAGAGAAACTTAACCTCCAGGGGAACCAGCTATCTTTGCAAATTATCCAGTAAGTGAATTTCCTAGGCAGAAAATGCAACACCTAGATAAATTTTCTTTTAACTTCTGCATACACCAGGAATGATTTCATGAAAGCTATTTTACCTTTGCTTCATTTAGGGTAGGATGCAGATTTCCCTATGGCATATAGGAAACCTTTAGATTTCTAAATACTGTGGAGAATTTCTCTTGTATGGATATTAGCCTTTAATTTGTACAATCCAAACAGATCAAAAGAAGACTAAACAAGGAAACTTCAAAGTAGCATTTTCTAAGCTGTGCTCAGTGGAGCACCAGCTCCTTGAGATGTTCAAAGAATATTTCTCAGAACGGGTATCCATTGATCAGTAAGTTTGTGAAATTCTGGCTACACAAAATTAGTAGGTTTCTTTATAGCACCAGCATTTCAGAGGCTATAAAATGCTAACATGCTTTGTAAACCTCTAGGGTGAGACAGAATATCCATAAATACTTCACTATAAAGCTGTTTTTCTTAGAACGTCTTACGGAGCTAATGGCCCACTGCAAACCTTAGAAATGCACCCTTAATATTCTGTGTTACTCCTATCTACCATTCTAATGGATTGTTCACTTGTCTTCATACATGGCCAGCAAATGGTCATGTCTGTCCTTACAAAGAATGCACATCCATGCCTGCAGAAAAAGCAATGTATTCTCTAGCATTATAGTCAAGCAGGTGTAGCCACAGCCTGATACACTACGTTTCTGCAAATATTTGGAGGGATTGGCACTTTCGTGTCCTATGGCTACATTCTGGAAAAATCCACTGCTTCCTCTAATCATGTCTCTCTCTTTCTCTTTCGCCCATGTCCCTTTCCCTTCAGAGCCAGAGCCACAGTTGGGCATGCTAATCCTTAGCAATGTTACTCCTGACAGCTTCAACGTGACCTGGACCGCTCGAGCCGGGCCTTTTGCAAAGATTGTTGTCAATGTTAGCGATTCTCACTCGCTGTATGAGCCCCAGCAATTTACGGTCTCAGGAGACACACAGCACGCTCACGTCACGGGCTTGGTGGAGAACACTGGCTATGACGTTAGTGTGGCAGGGACCACCTGGGCTGGGGACCCCACCAGGCCCCTCACTGCCTTTGTCATGACAGGTACTCATTCAGAGGTTCTTGCTTGTCTGTTTAGAATTCTGAGATGGGGAGCAGGGGAAAGGTGACAGACATTCTAAGGGGAAATTCAACCCCAAATACAGTCTTCACCCCGGATGTAAATGTCTAAGTGAAGAGAGAGCAGAGCCTATGGCAAAGATGGGTATTTCACAGCCATTTGTGGGAAATGGAGACCATGTATTCGACAGCTGCATAAAGTTTCCAGGGATTTCCCTGCCTAGCTTTATGGGCTGATCCATATTTTAGCGATTCTGGCTGAAGAGTGAGTTCTAAATAACAGCTAAGAGCAGGAATTTTGTCCATAAATCATGCTATGTAAGGCAGTTTATAAACCACCTGCCCCAGAAATGCAATAATTTATCTTTTTCTTTAAAAAAAAATACTTTGTCTTAAATCAACATCTATAACAGATTACTGAATGTTTGACCTAGGATAGCAGATAAATCCAAACTTAATTAAAGTTTACGCATTTATTGAATGTGACCTCTAACCTCTCTTTGAATTATGTAAGAACTGCATAAAGATATGGCCTTCCATTCTCTTGCCTGAGATTATCCCAAATCAATGGCAAAGACTGCAAATGGTGTCGATTTACCAAATCTCTAGCCTGACAAACCTCAGGAAATATTTAGAAGTCTCTTGCCTTCCACTAATGATAATTTTCAGGAGACTGACTTTGCCTACTGATTCTCACATTAAACCAGGCCTCTCCCAGCATCTAAATTGCTGCCCATAAGATATGTTAATACGTTCAATTAAATATTTAATTGGAGGCAGCCGTGATGACCTCGAAGCGCGTGAGGGTTTTGATATCAGGCCTGAGTGGTTTCTGATCTTCTCCCACATCTTTTTAGCTGCATAACCTTGGCTGGTGTTTAACTGCTCTGAATTCCAATTTCCTTATGAATGAAGAAAGGACACCCACAGCTACTTGGGGGCAGCCCTTGTCTCGGGAATTAAATGGATACAATGAACTTTAATGTCCTGGCATCCAGCAGGCATCTTACAGATGCTAGGTTCTTTCCATTTCCTAGCAATAGGAGGGGAGCAGTGTTCTGAAAAATAAGCCACAAGTCTAGACAGAAACTCAGCAACTATTGTTATGAAACCCTGACTTTCTTATGGTTTTTAAGAGAACACGTACATGTTTTAATGGGAGATCAGAAAGTGGTTATATTTTCTGTCCCGTTGCCTACTGTGAATTCAGTCGTTCAGACAAGTCTTCAAATACACAACATGCTCATTTCTTTTTTTTTTTTTAAAGATTTTTTATTTATTTATTTGAGAGAGAGAGAATGAGAGATAGAGAGCACGAGAGGGAAGAGTGTCAGAGGGAGAAGCAGACTCCCCGCCGAGCAGGGAGCCCGATGTGGGACTCGATCCCGGGACTCCGGGACCATGACCTGAGCCGAAGGCAGTCGCTTAACAAACTGAGCCACCCAGGCGCCCACAACATGCTCATTTCTGAGTGGGGCGGGGGAGGGAGCGGTGGGGACTTCCATTCTCTCGTGTCCCAAAGCCATGAGATGAGCAGGAGGGGAGGAATGGCTCCTGGTCAGTCAGGCCCTTACTTGTCGCCTTACGTCCCGCGGGACTTCCCACAGAACAGAGAGAAGAAAGGCAGGCTGGGAGTGCTGGTGTTGGGAATCCTAGATCTGGTTACAGCATTGTCTCAGCTAATCCTTGAAGTGAAAAGACCCTGAGTTTTAAAAGAAGCATATTTTTTAAAAAGTAAAAGGAAAAAAAAAGCTGAACATGAATGACTATAAATAACAAGCCCTTGATTGACTAATTAGCCTGAACGCTCTCCTTTTCATTGGAATCCGCCGCTTTGATGGGGCGGAGGTGCAAAAGGGCTAGCTATCAAGAGAGGTGCCATTTATCTAAACAAAACTCAGCAACAGAACTTGAGACCCTTGTCTTGCAGACAGAGGCCTCTTTGCACAGGATATGCGATTTCATCTCTGCCTTTGATAGAGTTATGATTTGGGAGAGATCCTTACATGGTAAAAAAAAAAAAAAAAAAAAAGCCTCAAAACAAACAGCAAGTGTGTTAAGTAAGTACAGGTCCAAGCTGCAACAAAATTTAAATCTCTGCTTCAAGAATGAGGGCATTCATTCACTTGTTCATTGAATCACCAAAATCTTTTTTTTAAACATTTTTCTTTACATCCCGTGGATTAGGCTCTGGGTATTAGTGTAAGGTCATTTATCTCTTTGAACGTTTCTATTTAGAAGTAATGGAAAAGGTGCCTCTAAATGAGGTGGGGCTAAAGCAGCCTTGGTTATGGAGTTTCCAGCCCCATGCCCCCTCCAGTGAAAACCACATTCACCAATACCACGTTTTGTTTTGCTAGAGGCACTGGACCTTCTCCACCGATCCTACTTACGCCTCCAGACTTGCCAGCCCTGATGGAGTCGACTAATTAGACGTTGGCTCAGGGTGTGGAAAGAGCATTGAGCTTGGAATCAGATGGCCTGGGTGGGAGGCCAGCTTAGCCATCCAGTAGATGTGTGATTCTGGATAAGTTATTGAGCTCCATTTCCTTAGATGTCACGGGGGCGAGGGAACAGGTAACAATAGCTATTTCACGTGTCATTTAAATAGGAAAACGGATGTGAAGCCTGATCAGTTGGGAAATAATGGCACTTAGAAACTTGAGTGATATAAGCTCAGTCCTTTTGGAAATCCCAGTGTGTGAAGACCCCTTGACATCTAAGAAATAAGGGTCCCTGGGACACAGATGTTTGGTAAATGATTGAATAGATGACAACAGAACTTGCTAAAGATCCGGACATGTCTTTATCTCCTGACTTTATCCAGGAAAACAAACAGTCAAAGAATTAACGAATCTTAGTATTCCTTACTGGGCCGCAACCCTGATTTGTTAATTCTGACACATAAAAAAAACTTACCCTCTCCCTCTAGTTCAGCTTATGAGGATATATGTCACTAATGGGCCTCATCAACTTGATTCAAAATGCAAACTAGAAGTGGGATACACATATGAAGTGTACCAAAAAGGAAGTATATGAGTATATTTGGGAGGAAAAAAGTTGATTTCCTTCAAGACCTTCAGAAGAAAGTGGGAGGCAGAGAAAGGAATCCAAAACCAACAAAAGCTATCCAATTTCATAGGGAAAAATTCATGGCCTTTGCAGTAAGACGCAGCTAAAAACCTTGCTCTGTCACATCCTAGCTCTGTGACTTTGGCCAAGCCAGTCAACCTCTTTGAAACTCAGGGTGTTTTGCCTGCACATTGGGAATAATGTCTATCACATAGGCCTGTTGAGAGATTGACATGAGATAACATCATCTGGCCCCCAGTAACCTTTTACTAAATATTCATTTTCTCAGAATTTAACACATTTAGTGGTTGATTGGGTATCGGTTGGTATTCGTGGAGACGTGTGCTATCTCAGCAGGGTCAGAGCTGCTAACCTGAGTTATTTTCACTCCTCCCTTCTTTCAGAGGCCCTGCCCCTTCTGGAAAACCTAACCATTTCCGACATTAATCCCTACGGGTTCACAGTTTCCTGGATGGCATCGGAGAATGCCTTTGACAGCTTCCTAGTAACGGTGGTGGATTCTGGGAAGCTGCTGGACCCCCAGGAATTCACACTTTCAGGAGCCCAGAGGAAGCTGGAGCTTAGAGGCCTCATAACTGGCATTGGCTATGAGGTTGTGGTCTCTGGTTTCACCCAAGGGCACCAAACCAAGCCCTTGAGGGCTGAGATTGTTACAGGTACTTAGATTCAAGTGAGCCATTTTCTCACCTCCTTGGTTCTCTTCCGTGTAATCCATCTACCACATCACCATGGTTTTAACATCCTTGTCCATTTTCTCTACATAATCCATAGATGTGGCCTGCTCTTTTATGTTTCCCCCCACACTCTCCCTTGTCTTGTGTCTCTGCTGAGCACTCCTCTTCTCCCACTGCAGAAACGAGAAGGTCGAAATGTTTGCCTCTTAGCATCCCAAGTCTTTTAGACCATGTCTTGTCCATAGTTGTTGTGTGCTTACTCCACATCATTCTCTTCTGTGTACATCCTGGCTGGTCCTCAGCGATGTTTCAGCCTTCTCAAAAGAAATATACCAATGAGTATATTTCAAAAACTTATTTTTTACATTTGCCATCTCAACATCTCAACGGTGACCTTGATAAAGTTACCAGGTGGGCTCGTTATTGGAAACCCAACTGCAAACTTATTATATTGGTCAACACTAATGTCATAGAGATTCCTTGACACAGACTAAATCCATAATTTTCTCAAGACTAATAATAATTCCTTCAGACATATAGCATTAACAACTTTAACAGTCAAAAATCTGTGTTTCCCAAAGTCTTTCCAGATTTTACTAGTTCTATAGGATATTCAAAGGTCCTGCTTGGTGAAGAAGTTCCATGTTCAAATAAGTTTGGAAACATAGTTTAATAGGATCCTTGACAACAAGGCTTTACAGAATATCCCAATGTGCATGTGTCCCTCCTGAGAGGGACTTACCCAGGCAGTATTTCCCAAACTTATTTGACACCGGATACCTTTTAAGGAAGAAGAACAAACAGGAATAGTTTGCTCTGAGTACACTTTGGGAAACTCAGCTCTAAATTTACCTTGACAATGAGTTTTGTCTAGTGAAGGCAATCCAAAATCATATACCTTGAGTCCAAAGAATGGAGTATAAGAGGTTCCAAGCCTCAGTTCTACCCTCTGGACTCTTGTCTAATGGTTTAAAAAGCAAGCAACAAAGTCAAGAGTAGGAGTCTTCTTTGAGTACAACAGTTCCAAGAAAAACGCAAAAAGACCATAACATTTGTAACATTTTAAAAGCCATTTTGCTCAGGATCAAGGGAAATATAATCAGCAGTATCATCATGGGCAACTCTACAGATCGTTAATACTGGTTTATTTGTCTTTTCAAAAAGAAAAGAAAAAGGTCTCACAGAGGATGGGCACTCAGCCATTGGAAGACAGAGAGCAAATGTAAACAAGTTACTGGCTTTGAACTTGTTTAATAATGTGTGGGAGGGGCCAAAGCAGAGTCCAGATGTGGATTTATAGAATTGCTTTTAGACAAAACTCACATATGCAAGCATCCACTTGGCTTGTATTGGATGTGTGAATTCCATCTTTCCCTTCTCCTGGACCTACTTGTTTATGTTGAATGATTTTATTTTCGGGATCTCAGGACACTTCTGTCCCTGAGAGCCAGGGCCACTGCATACTGATAACCCCCCCTGCAGAAGAAGACTGCACGGGCTGGGAAATGATGTTCTCTCTCCTCCTCCCACCATGTTCTCCTCCTCTAGAAGCCGAGCCAGAGGTGGACAACCTTCTGGTTTCAGATGCCACCCCAGATGGTTTCCGTCTGTCCTGGACAGCTGATGAAGGGGTCTTCGACAATTTTGTTCTCAAAATCAGAGATACCAAAAAGCAGTCTGAGCCACTGGAAATAACCCTCCTTGCCCCCGAACGAACCAGGGACATAACTGGTCTCAGAGAGGCCACTGAGTATGAAATTGAACTCTATGGAATAAGCAGTGGAAGGCGATCCCAACCAGTCCGAGCCCTAGCAACCACAGGTACCGTACATAAACAGGAGAGAAGTAAGAAAAGTCGTTGACTCGGGGGTCTTCTTTCACAGGGCTGGGAAATTGCAAGAGCTTTGGGTGCAGCCAAGCTCTTTCAATTATAGACAGTGTGAGTGTGGATGATTTGGCTGAATGTTTATGCCAGAGGACCCTGATGCCATTTAGTTAATGGAGTTGTGAGGATTGAATGAGATAATTCATGGCAAGCCCATAGCAGAGGCTCCGCTGCATAGCAAGGGCTCGGCAAATTAAAGCTATTTAGAGTTGCATTATTTTCATTAATACATGATCATCATTACAGTTAGTGCAATTTTTAAATTCCAAAGACCCTTCTTTCGGCCTATTATCTTATCATTTTTTTTTTTTTTTATCCAGAAGTACCTCTGGGCAAGTGTTTGACCTTACAGTGTGCAGGGGATAATGGAGAAGTGGCACCTCCACCTAGAAAGATGAATATTTATCAGCTGCTACGTGTGAATAATCAGTACCACGCTCAGGAAGGATCGAAGGAGGGGGCTGGCAAGGTCAAGGGCTGCTCTTCATAAAGTTCATGATTTTCTACGATAGACACTCATAGCGACTCCAAAAAGCACTGGAGGGGAAAGTGCAAACCCTTTTCCATATGAGTTGTTTCAAGGAGAAAAAAAAATTGGTAATAGGACTCTTTAGAGGCAAAGACCTCTAACAGGTGTGGTGAATTCCTTCTTGAAACTAAGGGACAGGGAGAAACACAGCATTCCCTAGAGACAGACTGCTTCAAAGAGGAAGCAGAAGAAAGAATCAAAGGCACAGAGAGAGAGAGAGGTAAAAGGGATTAAGAAAGGGTGTAGCCCAGCCTCCTCTGCTCCTGCAGGAAGAAGCTGAGGTCAGGTCCAGAAAGATGTGATTTGCCTCATGTCGCACGGCCAGGTTTGGTATAGAACCCAAATGTGGTTATTTTAATACTATTTTATTATTTCATTTTAATACTTATTTTAATACTATGAAATGTAAGCAGGCTGGATGACAGATAACCAGCGAATGTGCATACTTGCCGTCTCTGACGGGCATAGCGCACGTTAGCCAAAACCACCTCTTTGTGCAGAGATGGGTATATTAGATCATGTCAAGTTGCAGGACACTGAGCTCAGAGAAGCCACCTACAGGAACCGTAATCAGTATCTGTGGGCATGGAGGAAACGCTGAAGTGCAGAGGGCAGTCCAGTCAGAGGAAAAACCCTGTTTCTTACTAACTTGGACACCCTACCCCTGGGATGCGGGTCCTTGTCTCCTCCTCCCTGTAGAGGAGGCATAAAACAACTTCAGATCACAGACAGAGCCTGATTTTGACCTTGGTTTATAAACATTGCCCTTCAAAGTTTACTTCTGATCACTGATTTTGTTTTGCCAATCTTTTCTGCCAGAGGCCCTGCAGTTCTGAAGCAAAAAAACAATGAATAATCAAGAGCTTTTTTTTTTTGTAAAAACAGAAAGAAAGAAGAAAGAAAGAAAGAAAGGAAGGAAGGAAGGAAGAAAGAAAGAAAGAAAAGAAAGAAAAAGAGAAAGGAAAGATAAGAAAGAAAGACCCTGCTCTTTCAGAAAACCTTTTCTTTGATTTCTTATTTTGGGGCTTTGTATTTCACAGCCAGAGAGAAGCCAGAGTGTGTGTGTGTGTGTGTGTGTATGTGTGTGTGTGTGTGTGTGTGTGTGTGCGCATGCGTGTGCGCATGCGTGTGCACACGTGTGCCTGCACCCCTTGCTCCGGTACTTGGAGAGGACAGGACAGGTGACTCCATTAGACAGCATACGTCTAATTCCACCGTCACCTCGTCAGGCTTATAAAGTTTCCCTCTTGTTTTTCCAACCTTCCTCCTCTTTCCTTCCTTGCACAGTTGTAAACCCTTCTCTGAGATGTTCTGTTCCTCTTTAACCTCATAAAAGCTGCTGTAGGGTCTGCTTCACTCCCTGAGCGCAGGCTGCCTGCCCTGAGGTGCCCGGGGCAGAGAGGGCAGTTAAGCGCAGTGCACCTCGTTGGTCTGGAGCCTCTGGGTAGATTCCTGGGAGTCTCAGCCTTGTTCTACCAGCTGAGTGGCCTTGGGCAAACCTCCTTTCCTCTCTGAGCCTCAGTCCCCTCCTCTGGCAAGTAGAATTTAACTCTGAATTCAGCCGCCAGGTTTAAATAAGATCATGAACGTCAAGTACTTTGTTTCCTTGCCCATTGTAACAATATTAACTGTTATTATGTTTGGGTGATTTCATGTAAATTTTATTTTTTAATGGGCCACTTGGTTCAAAATTCAAAAATTAAAAAAAGACATAGAGCAAAGTCTCTATTCAACTCTCTCCCTGCTCCCTAGTTGCTCTGTATACAGGTAGTCAATATTACCAGTTTCTTGTCTGTACAAATAGACAAAATTAGACTTAAATCTATACTCTTTTTAAATTTTTTTTGCGGGGAGCACTCTTCCACACTCTGGTATATGTGTGTTTCTTGCTTATTAAATCTGAGAGATAATCCCATATGCCTTATTTCCTTCACCAGCCCCCTACTGATGGACACTTAGGTTGATTCCTGTTTTTGCAATGGCTCCTCTTCCCTTCTGTGGTCTGAGCCACTTCCCAATAGTCGTGGTCCCTCTTTGGAAAGCCCAGAGCTGCCAGGAGCATCTTTTGCCTCCGGGGAGCTAAACGCCAATGTGCCTCTGTGCACCAAATGGAGGGGCCCCGGAATAGACAGAAAATAGTTAAAAATCCAGCCACAGAGAATGATGACTTTGTCTTTCTCTTCTGGAGTTATAGTGCTTAGTGAGGAGCCTGAAATGCTTCTTTAACCTGTCCCCATCACCGCCCCCAGACACACACCCTTGGGTACTCCTTTCCACCCCGGAGGCCAGTGGGGGTAGTCAGTGCCCCTCCTCCCAATTCCCAGAAGGTGCCCCCCCTCCCATCCCACCGATCCTTTCCCAGCCAGACAACCTCGCAACTCCCCTGCCCGGTTCCGGTTCAGAATGCACTTGAAACCACACACCACCGAGTTGCAATGGCATTGTGTCTGGTGCAGGTCTGCAGAGACCTTGCTTGGCAGTCTTCCCTTCTATATGAACCAGGCCCTTTATGCTCGGTGCCTCTGGCTCCGACTCCCATGAGGCATAAAGACAGTAACCACCATTTATAAAGCATGAGCTCCATGCAGCATGAGCAGGGCAACTGACACCCTTTTATCTCCGTCGGTCACCGTGACACAGCCAGATCAAGGGAGCGCCGCATTCAGCCCCATTTCACAGATGTGGAAACTGAGACCTAAGGGGGTAAGGTGTTTTTAGTTAGGAAGGCCAGAATGGAATCCAAACCCAGGTCAGTCTAAGCCCAGAATCCTTGCTCTTAAACCATACTGGCTCCAGTAGCTGTCCCTGGAGCTTCATACTGGACCTGGGACATATGAAGTATTCAATAAAAACACATTGAAGGGAGAATACATTTTTTAAAATGACTGTCCATGGCCATATAATTAAAGCCATGGACATTTGGTCCAGATTTGGGGTGGCAACGTTTTATGCAAATTGCTGATCAAAGCCCTCTTCAACCTCCTTGGGAGTTATTAGCAAATCCAAACGTTTCCCTAATGGAGTCTATTGAAAACCAGGTGTCCACTTGGGAAAAGAGATAGAGGCATCGCCTTGCTTGTGTCTCTCAACTTTTCAATAGTATGATTTAGTTGCTTTGTGAGGCTCTATCTTCAGGTTCCCGTTGACCATCTCCTCTACTGTGGTGCTAGAGACTTATGGGCACTATATTTATGACAGAAGGAGATACGCTAAAATAACAAATAGTCTTCCTCAGGGAGGAAGGCCTATCGTCCAAAAATAGCACACCACTAAGCCTGGACTCCCACCACTACTGGGCCATTCCGTCAGGTTATTATGCATAGCTATTTCCCTGCTGCCATTCTGATCAAGCACGGCCCTCAGGTGCACACGATGTATGACGCTACTAATTCTTACGGCCTCTAAGACAGGGCAGATAATATTGCCGTTTTGTAGATGAGAAAACCTGGCATCTAGAGAAAAAAGCTGTGGCCACAAAGATACATCTAAAATGTGCTGAGGTCTGCAGTCAGAGTGAAGGGCGGCGTGGACCAGGCTAGCCACAGGAGAGCCACAGTGCCTGCATTTACACACCTCACTGGGTTTTATTTTCAGCCAACCTTATCTAGCTCTTTCCCGGGAGTTACTTCAAAATCCAGGGTAGCCCATGGTAAAAAGAGTTATATGGGGAAGGAAATGAAGAGATAACAATCACGTTTACTGAATTCTTACTATCTGCCAGATTCTGTTAAGGGTTTTACACCCACTAGCTCTGCTAATCCTGAAAATATTCCTGTAGGTGGGCATCACTTTTCCCACTGGGGCTCACAGAAGTGAAGGGATCTTCCAGGCTCTAGAGCCCTTGTGGTTTCCAAAGCTTGGTTCTAAGGAGAGGGCAGAACCCCCGTCAGCCAGAGAATCTGACTACCAGGAGGAAAGACTACAGGAGAAAGCCAAAAGAGGAGAGAGACAGAAATGGAGAGAGGGAAAAACATCTCCCCCAAGTGGGCTGTGGGTTTTAAAACTTAATGATCAGCGTGGGTTGGAGAGGGAAAAGATGAGGAAATGAGCTCCCTGGAGACCTGAAAATTGTTTCCTGATCTCACTGGTTAAACATAGTCAGCTGAAGAGGGCAAAGAGTGAAGCCAAAAAATACACAGAGAAAAGCCAACGGAACCTGGGTTTGGGGGGATGGTATTTATGTAGCAGGAACTGTCCCGTGGGCATGGGTCTCCCCGCAGGTAGACCCAGTGCACAGGACGTGTTCACTTTTCTTGCTGTCCCGGCTCTGGACCTCCATCCAGTTCTGGAAATGGGTTCATCGAGGTCAGTTTCCATGTCAATGTTATTTCCAGGATCCCTCGGCTGGGCCGGCTCTGCTGCCCCGTCCTGGGCCCAGAAAGGTCACCCCACAACAATGTGCCTTGGAGTTCCAAGCCTCAGTTTCCTCCTCTATAAAATGGCTACAACCACACTTTCTTCTCAGGGGTTTCTAAATGAGGATTAATCCTTACCAGTTACAAAGAACCGTACAATGGTCAAGTCTTGGTATCATTGAATAAAAGGAACTAGAAAGCAAAGGTTTGGAAAAAATGCTAAAACTGAGAAATTATAGGATGGCATATTCCAAGCTATGAAACCACCAGCCTCACTTCCTCAGATATCAGCTGTGGTGTTAACATTCTACTTGAATGAAACCTAATGGCAGCTCTATGGCCCTGGGCCCTGTACCTGAATGAGAGAACAATTGTCTCTATCAAGTCACAACTTGACCACACACAGACCACCACATTCTCCATCCTAAAGGCTTGGCTCAGACACGAACTCTAGAGGCTGAGTTTTCCTAGATAAGGAATCCAGGAAGAATCACTGATGAGCAAGATAGTTGACTATTTCTGGGTTTCTCCTGTGCTTTCTCCTTGACAGCCATGGGCTCTCCAAAGGAGATCAGTTTCTCAGACATCACTGAAGATTCGGCCACTGTCAGCTGGATGGCGCCCTCTGCCCAGGTGGAGAGCTTCCGGATTACCTACGTGCCCATTGCAGGAGGTAGGGCACTGGAAGGGGGCGTTGGAAGGAGCAGCCTAGAGGGTTTGAGTGGGGTAGTGAAGAGACTCTGATAATTCCCATCCTCCCAAATATGACCAAAGAAAATTACTTCCTTCTGTCGGAGACCATATCTGTAGGTTTCGTTTGTAAAGTGCTGTAGGATCCTTGGAAGAACTGCCTTGCGAAGGGTCATTTTATGAAGACCCTCTTCCAGCCTTGAAACCCTCGACTCCTATGAGAAATGGACCCCAGTGTGGTTTTCACACAATGGCAGAGACTCTAAATACACTGGTGCTTTTCTCTTTGAGCACACTCATCTGAAAAGCTGATCCTGACCTGGATGTATGTGAGGTTTTATCCTTTGGTCTTCAAATCCGTCTGTCTCAGTAGAGATGGGGAGTTGTGACTTTGCTAGTAGAAGTGGGAGCTCTAGTTCAATGCACAGGGGCCACAGCAAAGACCGTGGTGGGGGCAGGGGGGAGGCACCGTCAGATCTGCCCAAAGACATTCTGGCAGGTGGAAGTATATTCCTCTTCAGAGGGATGCTGTAGCAGCTCTACGGAAGTTTGGCCAGCTGGTATATAAGCTCCTCACCAGCCCTGGAATTCTAGGAAATATAAATTGTGGCCTTTTTAATAAATAGAAGAGTACAATCTTGACTATGACCGTCTTCTTTCCTTAAAGGGTAGGATCTTTGCTAGGAAGGATCTCTGTCTTAGCTTAACCCAAACCTAAGACAATGGGTTAAATAGACCAGATATCCATTACATAGTGAGCTTTTCATATTCTTTGTGGGAAAAATAAATAAATAAAAACATGCCAGCTCTCTACTGAACGGAAACTTGCCGTTTTTAGCACATTGTGACTTCATGTTTCTTCCCCTCCTTGGTTTTTGGCATCTGCATGGATGGAAAAAAAGCATTATACAAAAAGTAAGACCTCTTCTCTTATGCCAGAGGGTAGGAGCAAATGAAAGGAAGTCAAGAAAATGGTACTGGATCAAGATATAATTTCATTTCCAAATCGGATACACCCATTCTTGGGGCAACAGTAAGTTTCAGTGAGGTTCACCATTCCCGATCTTGCTTTTGCCATGTTCCAGGAACACCGTCAGTGGTAACTGTGGATGGAACCAAGACTCAGTCCAGGCTGGTGAGGCTCTTACCTGGAGCAGAGTACCTTGTCAACGTCATCGCCATGAAGGGCTTCGAGGAAAGCGAACCAGTCTCAGGCTCATTCAGCACAGGTGTTTTTCTCACCTTCCGCATTATTGCTCATGACTCAGCAGCTGGAAAAAATTTCTTTATTTGGGAAATCCTAGTGGAAAATGGACTGAATTTGGAGCACCAGAGACCTCATTTCTGGCCCGTCCCTGGCCTCTTATAGGCAGGAACCCTTGATTTCATCCTTAACTGCCCTGGGCCTTCATTTCTTGGGTTAGTGTGGAAGAAAGAACACACGTTTGGGAGCCATGCTGCCCTGAATTGAAATGCCAAGTCTACCACTTTTAGATACATGAGCTGTCAGTTAATTTCTTTAGGACCTAGTTTCCTTCTCTGTAAAATGGGTACAATTCTGCTTTCTTTGCAGGGTGCCATAAGAATCACATGACATGATTTACATAAAACATCTGTAAATGTAAATGACTGTGCACGTTAATCCACCTCCTTCCCTCCCGGCCTACGGAGGAAACGCTTTCAAGCATGCTCAGCACACAGACGTGTAATGGTGATAGCTATCAGGTAGCTACTCCTGACTAGGCTGCTCCTGCCTTCCAGGCACTGTTCCGAAACCCTTTGCATTTAAACCATGCAAATGCCTACATCGTTCCCATTTTACAGAGGAAACAACTGAGATCCAGGGAAATGAAATACCTTGGCCAAGGCCACCTAACTAGTAAATGCTGAGCAAATTTGAACTTAGGTCAGTCTCACTCCAAACCCTGTGTTCTTCTAAAATAGAGGATTGTTTTCCTATTATAACCTGATTTGTACAGTGTACTGTAAGGAGGGGGACATCATGAATTTCATTGAAGGAGAATGAAGTGGAAAATTTCTCTTCAGGCAGCCATGTCTCTGAACAATTTATCCTTTGATAGGCGAGCAATTATCCAGTCTAATCCATTAAGGGATCCAAAGAATGGGCCTCATAGGAAATTTTAAAAATATCCTAATAGTCGAAAAAAGTTGATTATATGCAATTATAACATCCCATCTGAACCCAGAGTCCTGTCCGCCCTGCCACACAGGCCCTTATTTCCCCCACAGAAACCTTTCATTCATGGACTCTCCGGTTGCAAACGCTGGATGCACTCCCTCCCGAGGCCTGTTGTCCTGGGCATTTAAAGGAGATTCTGTACAGACAGGCTGAAGCAGGAAGGAGCTTGGAGTTGACCATGTGGGCTCCCAAAAGTACTCTGCCTCCTTCTGCTTCTCTGGCCGGTCATCACATCTCTTGGGGCTCAGGAGCCTCATCTTTGAAATGAGCTGATGACAGCTGACCTCCAGCCTCCCAGGGCCATTGTTCTGGAGTAATTGAGTCATAAGGGCAAATGCAAGAGGATAATAGTCCTCTTTAGGTTAGTTTCTGAGAAGGGGCTGCTGGGTCGTCACAGGGGTCGGCTAAACGGGCCAGCGCCCTTTGTCAGTACAAGTCATTTGGCAATCATATCGAAGACTCCAGTAACGTTAATAGTCGTGTTACTAATAGCAGCCACCGTGAGTGAGCGCTGCCCCAGCACATCTCACGCGCGCGAGGTCTCGTTCATCCTTCTAGCAGCCGCCCTCTGACACCTGAAGAAATGAGGTTTGCAGAAGGGCACACAGACGCTAGGCAGAGAAGCCACGATAGAACCGGGGCCCGCCAGCTTCTGGGGCCTGGCTCCGTGTTGCCCACCAGCCCCCTAACCAGAGCTATCGTTCAAAGCCCAGAAGAGCCTCGGGCAGCCTTGACTCTGGGAGGCTCCCTGTTTCTGTAAGTTCTTTCCCTGGGAACAGTGATGAAACTACAATGATAACCCTCATCATATGTTCAGCCCTTTCCAGTTTATATAGCTCCTTTCCACCTATACTATTATGTGAGCATCAGAATAACCCTGAGGATAAAGCCAGGCAGAATGAGGATCCCCATTGTACAAGTGAGGAAACAGAGACCCAAGAGAGCCCAGCCAGCAAGGGAAGAAACCATGACTCAAACCCAGGACGCCCTGGCTCCAGACTCAGGACGTGGAACTGTGTGCGCACCAGGCGCCGTGGCCCAACACCAGGAGTCCAGGAGCAGTGAGACAGCTGTGGGCTGATGTCTGACCCCACCACTGCCTATCTCTCCAATATATCATCATCTTTCTTTGCAGCTCTGGATGGCCCATCTGGCCTGGTGACAGCCAACATCAGCGACACAGAAGCCTTGGCCATGTGGCAGCCAGCCATTGCCCCCGTGGATAGTTATGTCATCTCCTACACAGGGGAGAAAGGTAAGGCCATGTCTAAGACCCTCCCCACCAGGCGGAGTGTCTGTCGTGCCGTTCTCCCTCCTCCCTGTCACTTTTGGACCAGGACGGCAAAAATACACAGGTAGCTTGGAAAGGCCAGTGATGTCCTTGGGGCTCTCAGAATAGACTCATGGGCTGAAGCCGGGCCTGGGTAGGTCGGTGCAGAGGGCCTGGCCGGAGGGTGGCAAGGGAGGCCTCACCCATCCTCCTCTGCTTGTTGACAAGTGAAGAGCATCAATGTTGTGGTTATACCAAGGAAGGCCGGTAGGCCATTTAAAGGAAAACAAAGGGCACATTTCCAGCCTGCATGCGTTTCCCCAGCTTGTGGCCCACCCCACCCCCCGCCCCCGCTAGTCTCCCAGCCTTTCACCGTGAGCTTCCCCCTAGCAGCTCCCATCTCTTACAAAGAATGAGTTCAAAATCTAGAGTCTTAAACAGGCTATTTCAGGAGGCACTGGGAAGGTTGGGCCTCTTAGAGGCTACAGAGGAGGTAATAGATGCAATTGAGAAATCAGAAATTATTTCTCCTTGTCTTTGCAGACATCTGTGCTAATTAATATACTTAGTTGGCCGATTAAACACTTGTTTGGGGCACCAACACATCACGGCCACCAAAACGTAAGATCAAATACAAGTAAGGGAGAGGAGAAAGAGATTTGTTTTTCAGGGAATGAATTCATGCTTTTGTAATGAGCTACCCTAGAAAAAGACTTTACTATCTGAATCCCAAAGCACGTGTAAGTTTCCTATTTTGCGGTTCAGGATTATTTTACTTGCAGTGACAACATGAAGGGATGCCATACCGATGCCTGGGGCCTCTGAAAATCTGCATTCCCCCCCAGGCCACTACCTAAAACAGTTCTTTATGAGCATAGAGCAAGTTGGAGGGTGAGGGAAGAGAGATTTGGGGGTTTATTCTTTTTACTCTTCTATTCATTCATTCATTCATCTCTTCAGTTCTTAAATATTCCCCCAACTCCTCCGAGTCAGGGAAGCTGGTGGTGTTGTATCTACAGTAAACCAGAGCATAGTTCACAGGGATTATGGGATCAGTAGATACAGACCTAGAAAGGGGCCTGGTGCAGGAGATGGGGTTTCATGGATGATAAACAGGACGATAAACTGATCCCAGGATACCCAGGACTTTCCCAATTCCAGCACTGAAAGTCCCACACCCTGGGAAATCTCTCAGTCCCCGGCCAGCCAAGGTGGTCGGTCACCTGTGATCAGGAAATAAACACACCCACCTGGTGCCATGCTTTGGTTTCCACCACTGGACTTGACCCAATGGGTCTGAGAGGCACTAACCAGGCTCTAGTGCATCTGCAGCTGCCCAATTTTTGTGGTTCTCCAGCCTTGTGATTTAACAACATTTGTCAGATTATAAAAGGACATGAGAGTAAGTGAAAAAGAGGGGAAAGCAAGTAACGAGACACATTAAATCTGGGCAGCCTGAGGCTTGGAGACGTTAGCTGCAGCTGTCCTCCAGCTCGTTCCTGCACCTCCGCTGCAAAGCTCCCCCCAGCCAGCACCATGTGGAAACACCTCCTGACCCCCAAGCCCCCTTCCTCCTGATTTGGTGCCTGGAAAAATCCAGTCTCCATATGATAAATCCTTTGTGTATGAGGTGAGTGCTCAAGAGAGAGAACAGGGTGTGAGTCATTTCAGAAATCAGACCTGCTTTTCTACAGGGTCACTGAAAGTTGCTGCTAGAAGTAGGTGTGTGCGCCGTGTGCCAAGTGTGCTGATGGCTCACACGGGGAGCGGTAACTGCTCGGTGTGTTTCATGTTTAGTGCCAGGAATTACACGCACAGTGTCCGGGAACACGGTGGAATATGCTCTGACCAACCTCGAGCCTGCCACGGAGTACACACTGAGGATCTTTGCAGAGAAAGGACCCCAGAAGAGCTCAGTCATCACTACCAAGTTCACAACAGGTACAAAGACACCAGGAGCTGGAAGCCACCCACCCACAGCCTCCATCTGAAACTCCAACCCTTTCTTTCTTAAGTCAGACCCTTGCAATGTGATGACATCAGCATCAGCTAAATTCACCAGTGCCCACTCAATTGGGACCTTAAGAAACACACCATGTCCTTTTGAACTGAAATGACCTTGTTCTCCCCACGGACTAGGAAACGGTTTTAAGAGGAGGGCTTTTTGAAAGTGGAAAACCAGTCCCCATTGGCCCTCAACCCAGTATTTAATGATCCCTGTTCTAGGCAGGGAAATATTTTTAAGAGAAGGATTTTTCCGGCACGTTTTCCCAGATGTTCATTGGGTTTTTATACATTGAGATCTTTTTACAAACTGCAGCAGGCAGGGAAAGAGAAGAAGCATCCTCTCAGTAGGGATGAATGCCAGGATCAGCATTCATCTGTCCCCTTACTGAGGAGCAAGAGGGGGTTGGGAATTATGTTCACAGCTGTGTCTTTCTCCCCAAATCCACCCAAGGCCAATCAAGAGTATGTTGGGCTCAGGAAAATCTGGCCCTTTGGGTGAAACGAACCACAGAGAATTCTGTCTTTGGGGATCGCATGATTCAACGCCCTCATCTACAGATGGGGAAGGTTCTGCCCAAGGTCATATAGGTCAATGGTAGGGAAAGGACTTGAAGCCAGGCTTCCTGATAACCCAGCCAAGGGAGTTTTGTCCTAGAGTTGCTGACGTATTTGCTAACAAATGACTTATCTTCTGCAGACCTTGATTCTCCAAGAGACTTGACTGCTACTGAGGTTCAGTCAGAAACTGCCCTCCTCACCTGGAGACCCCCCCGGGCATCTGTCACCGGCTACCTATTGGTGTATGAATCCATCGATGGTACAGTCAAGGTATCTTTTTTTTTTTTTTTTTTTACTTGAGAGAGAGAGAATGAGAGACAGAGGGCACAAGAGGGAAGAGGGTCAGAGGGAGAGGCAGACTCCCCGCTCAGCAGGGAGCCTGATATGGGACTCGATCCCGGGACTCCAGGATCATGACCTGAGCCGAACGAAGGCAGTCGCTTAACCAACTGAGCCACCCAGGCGCCCAGTCAAGGTATCTTGAAGTATATAAACTCCCCACTGCTGTTTGAAACATGTACATGATCCTCAGCGGAGAGAAGAATCACCCCGGGGCTGTTTCTCCATCTCAGTGCAGCTAGGGAGCTGAAAATAAAAAAAATTAACAGGGATGGGTTGCCATGCCAGACCTTCTGAATCATATGCTCCAGCCTCCCTGTCTCATTTTAACCAGACTCCAGTTTTGATCGCCCGCCAAGGTCAAGAACCACTGCTCACAAGATTTGAGGACATTTTAGGAGCTGGATGCATGGTCTTTTAATGTTTTATTGAGCAAAAGCCAAAAGCTTCTTTAGCATCTTTGCCATATATACAATCTCGCAGATGGCATCATTCCATTATATATTGAAACATACATCACCACGCTCCTATGACAACAACTGTTAATGCTATTTACAGCAATTGTTACTGATATTCTCTACCCGTGAACATCTTTTCTTTTACTTTCCAAGTTGAAATAACCTTAACCCTTCCTTTCACACAAGTGAACTTGATCTCCAAACTTTATTTTCTGAACTTGTTATTGAACTTTTCATTTTGGTCATCGCACTCTACATTTCTAAGAACTTTTCCTTATTCCCTGCTCATCCACCTTTCTCTAGCGTATTGCTTGTATTCCGCGACTTCTCTTTATCTCTAAGAATATATGTTACCAGTATTTTATTCTACAACCTGCATAGTGTCTCTTCCAAGTTCCTTTTTCTTTCTTTCTTTCTTTCTGTTTCACTGCTATTGTTTGGTTTGGGTCTTTATCTTTCATATTGGAGACTTCCGCCCAATGTCTGATGGTCCTTTTGTACTCGAGCCAAGAATGAAACAGCTTATTGGGAGTTCCGATGGCAGACACGGGGCTTGTCAACTAATGAGGCTCACCGTAGAGTAAGCAAGTGCCCAGCAATTTTGCTGGGGACTCATAAGTAGTAGTTCTGTAAGCCTTTTCTCTTGAGCTAATCCACCTCCCTAGAGGGTCCTCCAACCCCTTCAAACCAAGCTGCCAGGATTGTAGCCCAAGGAAGAGCCTGGGCCCCCGCTGTGTACACACCTTCCCTTCTGTTTCCAGTGTAGCTCCGTGGGGCCTGGTGGATTTGAATCCAGAGTCTTCTCTCTGGCTCAGTGTCTCCAGAGAGTACACCTCAGTCTTTCATCTGGACTGGGAAGGACAATCATCCAGACTTGGTGGGGGGCGGGGGGGAGGGCGGGGATGGGGAGAGCTTGGAATCTGTTCCTTATTTAAGCTGTTAAACAAACTTTTGTTCAGCCATGTCCCACACTGGCCTTCAAAGGCATCTTTGCTTTTGTACACATTCCATTCCTGAACTTGCTAGGCCCTGCAGCATTCATCAGCCAGCTTTGGAATGGCCCCACCCACTCAGCCAGCTATCTCCCAGCCTGCCCCCTCGCTTGTCACCCCACCGCACCCCTTCCCATCCATCAGGATTCTGTGGACATTGCATGCCTCTGTCTGTCTCGTCTGTCATCCGCTTCATTCTCATGGACTTGTGCTTTCTATCCCTTCGCTCTCATTGCAGGGGGTTTCAGAAGAAAGTAGAGCTAAACTGGCATGTCTAATCCACCGTGTTTAACTAGAAGTGGACACACATTTCTAGTTACTCCCGTGGCCCTTCTTTGAGTTGGCATAACAACGAACTAACTCACTGTATGCATGGAGGCACGTCCTTTACTTTCTCTGGGTGTCGTGTTCCCATCTGTAAAATGAGTGCATTGGACTCACCAGCCTTACAAGTCGCTTCCCAGCAGGCATTCTAGGACTGAGTTTACATGAGTCCTGAGCCTCGTTTCAGTCTACTCTGATTACCTAGAAAAGGACTTTGCCCAGCACCCTAGAGAGCTGATCGGTAATTGTATCCCCAAGTAATTCAACGAACCCAGCTTTATACCTGATCCTTCCCCAGGGACCAGACCTGGGAGCCACATAAAGGTCACCGGGTCACCGGTGTCAGCCTACTGACTTGCCTTCCTGCATGTCCAGTCCCCAGCTGTGTATGTTTCACTCAAGAAAATAACCTGTTGTAGGAGGAAAGAGTCCTGGACAAGATGTGGGGAGATAGGAGGTAGGACCAGCCTCTACCACCAACACATTATGGAGTGAGAATGAGTCCCTCAGCTTCTCTGGAAGTCAGCCCCCCACCCCTCATGGGAAGCATCACGGTAACCTCACCTGCCCAGCATGAGGATGCGAGAGAGCATTGCAGGGGCCTTCGCACTGACCCACTATTGCCCACAGCTTGTCAGCCGTGTTTGCAGGTTGCAGGCACCGTTGGGTTGGGTTTGCTAGCAGTGTAGGTTGAATTCCAATCCCAGACACCCAGGTCACCTGCTATAAGGTGAATTTGCAGGCATTGGAAGCTAGAAAGAGGATTTGGAAGGGAGGAAGACCTCCCGGAAGCTGAAACGAATGTTCTGGGGACAGTAACACAGTGAGCACTCACAAACTACAGGGGGGGTTAGAGGAGGTCTGGCAGCAGAGACACACGCACGCCTCTCCTGGACATCTCTGTTCTAGAAAGAGATAAGCCGGGTCAGCTCAGGCTTCCGCCGTGCCTGCTGAGTTACTGCAGTCATCCCCTGACTCGAGATCCCCACACTGACTGCATCCGAATCATTTGGGGAGCTTCTTTGATATGCACCAGGCGGAGCCCCACTTCTGGCTCTTACGATGCAGCCCATCTGGGATGGTGCCCAGGCATTGTATTATCTTAAAGCTTCCCAGAGGCCTGTGAAAAACAGCCATATTAGGTGGCTGATACAACTGGTCTGAAAATCTAAACCTTTTGTCCTTTGTGTGGTTCATCTTGCTACCATGTTAAGCTGGGTTCACTTCATTCACTTGTTCAAAAACCTTTTGGGAATCTGCCTTCCTTATCACGATAAACTTCAGATTCCATAGTTTGGCACTTAAGGCCCTTTGTAATCTGGTTTTTGCCTACTTCTTCCGCCATTCCAGCACCCAAAACCAAGTGTGGCTCAGGTAGGTCATTACCTCCTCTTCTGCCCCTCCTGACCTCGGTACCTTTGCTTAGGCTGCGTTCCCCCCATCTCTGGTGTCCCAGAAATGAGCATGGAGCCTGACATAGAGTGAGGCTCAGTGGATTCTTTTGAATGAAGAAATGAATGGATGGGTGAATGAATGAATGTATCATCTGTACCCTGAGGATTTGTGTGGCAAAAAAAAAAATATTACATTCTTTCTTCTGCCCTTAGGAAGTCATTCTGGGTCCAGAAACCACCTCCTATAGCCTGGCGGAGCTGAGCCCCTCCACCCACTACACGGCCAAGATCCAGGCATTGAATGGGCCCCTGAGGAGCAAGCTGGTCCAGACAGTCTTTACCACAAGTAAGGGGCTCAGGGTGCAGCGGAGCCTTGAGCTCGAACTTTGTGAGACAAGACCGACCCTCCACTTCTCTGACCATGACTGAATTTTTCCCTCAAATCTCTTAAAATGATCAGTGCCTGCCACTCCCTGAGAGCCCGAGGAATGTGGGTGCAGGAGGTTAAGAGCCTCGTGGTGAAAGGAAAGGAGAACCAGTAGTGAGACCTCTGGATACAAGCCCCATCTCCACCACTTGCTCTGAGTGATTTAGGAAAGTTAATGCCACCCTGCAAGCTTCCGTTTCTTCATCTATACAGTGGGACTCACAGTAGCCCTTCCTCACAAGGACTCTGTGCTGTGTCTGAACTCCTAGCCCCGGTGTGTGGCCCATGGACCGGGCTCATTGTAAGCCAGGTCCTGTTAACAAAGCCTGTCCGAAGTTGAAATCAAAACCAGTCCTCCCACCGAGCTGGTAGGGTCATTGGGCCCCATTGTCTGCGGGGGAAGCAGAGGCTCCCAGAGACTGAGTGACTCCAGGCTCTAGCATGAGTGAGAGGCAGATCTGGGCTCAGGGGTTCCAGGCCCTGGGAAGCAGCCCTGCGCCCTGCCACGGGGTGTCGTCCGCAGATGGCAAACGTGCGAGGTGTTTCTCTCGTGAACTAAGAGGACGCACGCATTCCTGAGGAAGGGGGGAGTGGGCCTCTGGAAAGCCCTGAGCACAGGATACCCGGCGTGCATCCCTGACCGCCTCCTGCCCTTTGCGTTTGGCTCCAGTCACTGCGTACTCTCCAGTCACTCTCCCTGCTGAGGGAGCTGCAGAAGCCAAAGCCCTTTGCCAGACCTCACAGCCAATGCTGGGAGCACAAACACATGAATGTGCCCTAAAGATGCTCCCAGACCAGAGCCGGGACATAAACAAGGGCACAGCTCATGACGCAGCCTCAGGTGAAGGGGGTCAGGTCAGAACTACCAGCTCCCTGTCCCACCTGCTCAGCACAGCCCCAAGACCATCCATTTCTGTCAAGTTTTACATTGTTTTTACATCATATTAGTGCACTTGGAGATTCTCCAGGCATTCTGTTTGGTCCCTCTAAGACTCCCAGGCTCAGAGCAGTTAAATGACTTCTCCAGTGTCCCGAGGCAAGAGATTGCAAATTCAAGACTAGAATTCTTGTCTTTGGCTCCCAAATCCTCTGAAGAATTCAGGACGCATGGTTTTTAGATGCCCCGTAGAGTGCCCTGATCCACAGCGAGCCACCGACTGGTGCTAGAGACCTGGCCATCCTGCCAGTACCTGGGTCTTCACCAGGTGCTGCCTGGCTGCTCGAGGTAGATCAAGGTCAGCCTGATGCTCGCTCCTCACAGCAGCTCAGCTCTTCTCCCGCCGATATCATTGGCGACTTCCATGAATGTAAGAGACTGAGCTGGGTGCCTTATATCCATAACCTCAAAAGCCTCATTGCACCCCTGCAAAATAGGCTTTACCCCCATCTTGCACACAAGAGAACAGAGCTGCAGAAAGGTTAAGTTGCTTGCTCATAGGCATGCAGCCAGGACGCAGTGGAGCTGCAATCTGAAAGCTCCTACCAGTGTTCCTGCTCTAAGAGGGCCACTCTTCCTTCTTATCCTGCAGTTGGACTCCTGTACCCATTCCCCAGGGACTGCTCCCAAGCAATGCTGAATGGAGACACAGCCTCTGGCCTCTACACCATTTACCTGAATGGTGATAAGACCCAGGCTCTGGAAGTCTTCTGCGACATGACCTCTGATGGGGGTGGATGGATCGTGAGTATCGTGAGCTCTCAGGCCTGGGGCCTAGGGGCAGAGGGCACAGCAGGGGCAGGGAGGTGGGCACGTCCTCCCCATGCACTCACACACCAATGTTTGGAGGTTTTGCAAGATAGTGCCTGTCATCCAGAGGCACTCAAGAACCATCTCTGAAACAAAGGAATGGGGAAGAAGCCGGGGATAAAGACCAGAGAAAATAATTTTCTTGTAATTTATCTGATCTGATCCTCAAACAACTCTGTGATGCATAAAAATGATGGTGGTCGTGGAGCCCGTTATGTGGATTAATTAGCATTTGCTATCTACCACACACTGTGCTAAGAGTTTTATGTGAATTATTTCAATCCCAATACTGTCCGAGCTGGGTAGTATGTCTTTTTAATTAATAAACCTTTTTTTTTTTTTTTTGGAGAGAAAGAGAGAGCAAGAGCAGGGAGGAGGGCAGAGGGAGAGGGAGAAGCAGAAGCAGACTCCCTACTGAGCAAGAAGCCCGATGCGGGGCTCGATCCCAGGACCCTGGGATCATGACCTGAGCTGAAGGCAGATGCTTAACTGACTAGGCCACCCAGGCGCCCCATAAACTTTATTTTTTAGAGCAGTTTTAGGTTCACAGCCAAAGTGAGCATAAAGTGCAGAGAGTGCCCACATACCCCCTGTCCCACGTGCATGGCCTCTCCCCCTATCAACATCTATACCACAGTGGTGCATTTAGAACAAGTGATGAGCCGACCTTGACACATCATAATCACCCAAAGCTGGGTGGTATTTTTAATCCCTGTTTTTCAGGTGGAGGTGGCCTGCCCAGAGATACACAGCAAATTAGTGATGGACAGAGCTGGGGACTGGTGCTTTTCCCACAGTTCTGATGTTCTTCCTCTCAGAAAGATGCATTCTCTTTCTTCCGATAGCTAAAGCGCGCCCTGATTCATTGGTTATGTTCCAGGTGTTCCTGAGACGCAAGAATGGACGTGAGGATTTCTATCGCAACTGGAAAGCCTATGCTGCTGGGTTTGGGGACCGCAGAGAAGAATTCTGGCTTGGTAATGCAGCCTTGCCTGTGTGTGTCCCAAGTGCCCATTTCTGCCCTCCTTGTCATCGTTCCTAACCCACAGCAACCCATGGGAGAGAAGGCCTAAGAGGAAACAGTAGCTCTGGTAGTAGACATGGAATATCAACTCTTCCACAGAAAAGACTTTAAAGTCCCTAGGTCGTTAAAAATAAAAATCTGGTTCAGAGAGAGCCCACAACCAGACCTGAAGAATGAGCCTAGCCTGAAGTCATTCACTGAACTACTTACAGACTCATCCTCACTGATATTATTAACTATTTCCGTCCTGGGCTCCAGGTGCTGAGATGGGCCTTATAGCCATAACCTTGAGACCCCCAGCACCTACGCAAGGTACAAAATTCCCACCTTGCACATGGGAAAAGAGGGATGAAGTCACGTGCTCACAAGAATCTAGCCAGTAAGCAGTAGAGCTGCCACTTGAAATCTCCCCAAACAACACCACAAAGCCCTCATCCATCCATCCATCCGTCCGTCCGTCCATCTGTCCGTCCATCCCTGTAGCTTGCACTTTCCCACAGTCTCCCTGCAGGGGGCACTGTTCCGCGCTCCGGTGCCTGTGCTGGGGAATGTCCACCCCATTAGCGTCCACTGCCTCTCTCCTGCAAGGAGCTTTGGAGGTTAAAAGTGCTTTCTCCACCTTATCTCCTTTGATCTGCACAATGCCCTAGGAGGTGGTGTCACCCTGATTTTACCTGAGGCTCAGAAACGTCCGTGCCAACGAGGAGCGCAGGCCTCCAGACGCGGTCTATGCGAGAGGAACCTCTTTTAAAGAGCCCAGCCGCTGCTCCTGCAGGGTGGATGCAGTAGAAGCAACGGCCTCAGTCACTTGTGCTTCTTCTGTAACCCTCGCCTGTCCTCCACAGGGCTGGACAACCTGCACAAAATCACAGCGCAAGGGCAGTACGAGCTCCGGGTGGACCTGCGTGACCACGGGAAGACCGCGTATGCCGTCTACGACAAGTTCAGCGTGGGGGACGCCAAGACCCGCTACAAGCTGAAGGTGGAGGGTTACAGCGGGACCGCAGGTAGGGGACAGCCACACTACCCCGCCTCTGAAACCACAAAAGCCTTCCTTGGGTTTTTAGCTCCTTCCTTCCTCATTCCTTCCTTCTCGAATCCATCCGCTTATCAGATCGACAAATATCTGAATCCTTATTAGGTACTAAGCCAGAGCTGCAACTGGGCAGAAGGGGGTAGCTATTTTGGTTACCAAAACAGAGTAAGGTTGGGAATCAGAACAATACATCTTTTTCTTACCCATTTTTAGATATCAACTTTAGATGGATAAACAGTCTCTTAGGAGCCCGAAGACTCACCTAATCCAGTGCATCTAAATTTATTTATTTAAATTTCTTGTGTACATATGATCCCCGGGGATCCTGTTAAGGGGCTGGTGCAGACACACCAAGATTCTGCATTTCTTACGGGTTCCCTGGCGATGCCACTGTTGGGGATGTTGCTGGTCTGTGGACCACACTTTGAGTAGCATGCAATCCACTCCATCCCCCAACTGCTTGCATCTTTTCAAAGACATCCCTGCCATGTGGTCATCCAGCCACAGCCCATATACCCGCATGACCAGAAGTTCACTACCTGCCAAGTGGCCCTTCCGGTCCTTGTCTGGTACATAACCTAGCTCAGATCTTGCAGATGTCATTGCCTTGAAATGACCTCTGTGTGCTTTCCTGGCTCCACATTAGAGGAGAAATTAATAAGGAAGCCACACGCATTTAGACCTATGAGGGAGCATCTCCTTTTGGCAGATATTCCGCAAGCATTACCCCTTTCCAGTTCTCACGGACACTGTTCCACTGTTGCTATAACACAGATGAGGAAACTGAGACCCAGAAAAGGTGGGTGATTTGCCCGAGGTGGACCCAGGGGGCAGGCTTGGTGGCAGACAGGTGTGCTTGGTAACGAGGAGGGACCAGGTCTAACAGTACGACTACCCTTCCCTGCTTTGGGGTGGTGTCCAGTTATGTCTATGAAAACAGGAAAGACAGAAGCTATGGTACATTCCCAGCCTCTCTGAGCCCCGAGAGGAAACAACCATAATGGGGAGAGTCTCCAGAGAAAGATTGGCCATCTAAGCAGAGATCAGGCTCTTTGGAGATCAGTGTGGCAGTGGTGAAGAGAGAGAACCAGGGGCCAAAATTGTTTTCATTCTTGTGTCCCTCAAAGAATTCTGACATTTTATTACCTGGCAATAAATATCTGTTTGAGTGAAGTGGCTTCAGGCAAGAAGGATATTGTTACCGGAGGGGGGTGGGGATCCAGGGGGAGTCACTGAGCAGTGGGAATGTGGCCTCCACCCGCCTCTCTGCACTGATTTCCAAAGCCCCCTTACTAAGGTAACCCTGGTAGAGATGCATCCTCTGGTGGTAGCCAGCTGTCCACAGGAGGGCATCTTGTTTCATCCATCCTTACCTGCTCTTGGTCACTTCGTCGTTAAAAAGGCATCTGAGACCCTTTGTACCCTGCTTCAAAATATCAGTCCTGCCTTTCCATCTCTGTGCTCCATTATGTAAAGGAATGTAAAAGAAAATGATAAAAGTAACAACAATCACAGCTATTATATAGCATACCCCTCTACCTTCATATCCACTGATTGTCCCAACAGCACACTGAGGTGGATGGGATCAATGTGCTAGTTCCATTTTCTAGAAGAGAACACTGAGGCTCAGCAAGAGGCCTGACGTGGGCCAGGTCATGCTAGGGAGTGAAAGCTGGACCCTCAAAGCCACCCACAAGCCTCTTTCTTCCACATTGTACTGTTTCCAGCGGAAATGAGCCTTCGGGGGCTGGGGGAGCTCTCATGACCACTCCAGTTCTGTGTTCGATACTAATCCTGGGTCCAGGGTTCAAGGGCAGCCCACCCCCCAGGATCTTTCAGTCGCCACCCCAGTTCTGCCCACAAGGAAACCCCCCCTCCCCACGCTGGGACTCTTCAGATCTGTATCTCCGCTCCGCAGGTGACTCCATGGCTTACCACAATGGCAGATCCTTCTCCACCTTCGATAAGGACACGGACTCAGCCATCACCAACTGCGCCCTGTCCTACAAGGGGGCTTTCTGGTACAAGAACTGTCACCGTGTCAACCTGATGGGGAGGTATGGGGACAACAACCACAGTCAGGTGAGCTAAGTGCAAGGGTCGGGGGCAGGGCTCGGGAAGCCAGTCGCGGTGACTGGCGGGCACCCCAGCCCGTTGGTTCTGGCTGAGACTAGGGGGCAGCAGCCTCCGGAACCTGGTGTCACATCTGTTCCTGGCAAGGAGGAACCTCAGGGACACTGCAGGTCAGGTGAAATCCTCGAGACAGCACATGCTAACCCGTGAATGTCCCAGGGAGACCACTGGTCAGGGGGATTCCAAACACAGAAAGCTCTCCTCAGACAGAGCCTTTGTCTGAACTCCAGAAGGAAAGCAGATTCAAGTGGAGGTGTCTAGGTGACGCAGGGGCGTAAGTGGGGTGTCTTATGATGTTGCCCCCAGGACACTTTCACTCTAGCATTATTGTACCACCTCTCTTTCCTCGTCCCCTGCCACCAGAGTGACATAAAGTCCTTCTGGAAAACAAACAAACAGAAACAAAAGCGCATGCCCAGCAGGAAACTTCTTTTTCCATTCCCCTCCCCTCCAATGTGGGCTTACGTGAAAGGCCATGAAGGAGTTATGGGAGCCCATCTGAGCTCTGGCTCTGCTCCGGCAACCGTGTGGACTTGGTGATGTCACTTTTCCTCTCTGGCCTCCGTCCCCAGCATAGAACGAGGAGGGCTTGCATCCCACTGGGCGCCTCTGTCCGAGGGAGGACGGGCGACAGAGGAAGGCAGCGCAGGGACCAAGTACTTCACCAGCACTGAGTAGTTACAGACACATTTGCCCACGGGGTGAGCCAGCCATTCTCACACCTCAGCTGCCCGTCAGATTCAGAGACTGCCCGCTATCGGTGCACGCCAGACAGTTAGAATCCTATAAAGTGTCTCTATTTTCTTGCCTCATTTTATCAGCCACTAACTCCTCCATGTCCCCTCACAGCCCCACGCCGCTTGAAGAGAGGAGGGGTCAGGGAATGAGGTGGTGGCCTCCTAGGAGCTCTTGCAGAAGCGGCCCCCCCTTGAGGCCCTGGTGGAGCAAGGGGCCTTGTGGGTTTCGACAGCAGACTCTACCATCTGTAGACTCTGTGGGAGAGTCAAACAGGGAATTAGGGGACCCACACCCAAATATAATCTTTTCTTGAGAAAAAAAAAAAAAATCGTTGGCCAAATTTCCAAGGATACTTTTCCCTATTGGAGATGAGGGGAGTCGTATTTACTTCGCACCTGCAATGTGCCCAGCACTATGATCACTCCTTTACAAACTCATTTAATCCCCATAGCATCCTTTCAAGGTTGGCACTATCAGACCCTGAAGGGGGGGGGTGGAAGATGGTGAAACTGAGGCCCACAAAGGTTTGATGACTGGTTCAAGACCATTTATGTCTCAAGTATAAGAGCCTTAAGATTTAATCCTATATGTCAGGTTGTAAGATTTGTGTTCCGCCTGTGTTCCTCCTGCCATTCCAGACAAACCCTTATTAAAATACTCCATAGGAATCGTGGGAATTAGAGACTCCCCTGCATCTAGCGAGTCCGTTCTGTAACCTCCAATCATGACCTGAATTCATTCAGCACCTGTTCCTACCGATGGCAAGTTTCACAAGCCACCATGTTGTTTCACGATGGCAGCTCAAAGCTCAAAGCAAGTACAGGTGGCTTCTGACTGAAATTTAAAAAATCGAGTCAGATTCAGCCAGCTCCTTTCCAAGTTCTCACTACACAGATCAACAGACAGATAGGCAAGAGAGAGCTGTGAGCTACCAAATGGTCAGGTTCAAACAGAACTCCCTTTGTTCCTGTTGACCAAGCAGCAGTCAGTGAGCACCTTGCCCAGTGGGAACCTATCTGAGGTCTTCTCTTTTTCACAGGGCGTTAACTGGTTCCATTGGAAGGGCCACGAATATTCCATCCAGTTTGCTGAGATGAAGTTGAGACCCAGCAACTTCCGAAATCTCGAAGGCAGGCGCAAGCGAGCATAAATCCAGGAACGACTAACTGGGTGGGAGAGGAGTAGGGCCCAGAGGAAGAAGCAAATTTTACCAAAGTCTCAGTACAAACCCATCCAACCATCAAGCCACACCCGGGCATTTGGCAGGAGCTAAAGCTGACCGTGGATCATCAGGCCGATGGCAGGAGCGCTGGCCCCACCTACTCTGCGAGTACTTCCTTCGCACCAAAGACAACAGTCTCCACAGGTGTCTGCTTGTTGTTTGAATCAGCACACATCTTCCAGTGATGGTGTCACGGTGGTTGTCCTTCTCTTGGGTGGCTCTGGGAATGGGAGAGGGGTAGGCTGTACAGTGGTAGTTTGTGTTAGAACCAGCTGTATTTTACACAAAGCTGTATAAGTATCATTATTTTTGTTTGCAATGATTCGGTGTGCGTCATGGGATGCCGTCCCCCGCCCCTTTTTTTTTACATTTCATGCAACAAAAACCAGAAAAGCAATACTGTTTCGATTTTAAGGATACAATTAATATTATTAATATAATAATAATGACAATGAAAACTAAGAATTTTTAAAGAGATCTTCCTTTCCGAAACACATCTGGACAGTACCTGATTGTATGTTTTGTTTTGTTTTTTTTTAATAAAAGCACAAGTACTTTTAAATCCGTCTGTTGTTTTTGCCTTTCATTGTTGAGCCTGAATTCCACCAAAGGCAACGTATTTGAACAGAGGGAGGAATGCTGGAAAGGAACGGGAGGAACAGTGAGGAGGAAGGGAAGAAGGGAGGGGGCCTACAAGTTGGGAGAGAAGAAAGAACTTTTTTGAACAAAGCTAAACGAGGTTGGGAAAAGGTTACCACTTGAGATTCAGCTTCTTGCTCAATATTTTCAAGACTAACAGTGTGTGGTTTCAAAGATGCTTTTATACCCATCTTCTAGAAATTCCATGATATAGGTGAGGAGACAGTTGTTATCCAGCAAAGATTAACATGCCCAGAGGCAGACTACCTGAGTTCAAATCTTGACTCCACCATCCCTTTATGCCCTAATCTCTCTGTACCTCAGTTTCCCAATCAATAAAGTGGGGATACTCGCACTTCTTAACTGCATAGCATTTCTGCAGAAAAAAATAAACATCTTCCAGATAAGGCCCTTAACACGGCTCCTGGTGTAGAGTAAGTGCCAATAAGTGTTAGCTGTCTCTACGATCACTTTATATATGACAGACTGGGGTTCACAGAATTGCAATGACTTGCCCGCAGGCTACCCACCCAATTAATCATAGAACTAGGATTTCAACGCAAGTGTTGATCTCAACCTGAGTGTTCTTGCTCTCCCTCGGGACCCCGATGAAAATCCCTCCTTCCCTGAGGAAATGTGTGAGTTGCAAAATGATGGAGTGTGGGGAAGTCCTGCTGGATGCTTCTTACAACCCCAAGATCTTAGAACTAGAAAGAATGTCTGTTAGGAAGATCTCCCCCTCCCCCACTCCAAGCCCCCCTGTCGTGTCCCCCAGCCTCGGCCTGAATGCATCTAGTGGTGGAGGGACCTCACTGCCCAGCACAGCAGATCTGCTCGTACTTGGCAAATACTGAGTTAGAACCACACACTACACATTTGTCTTTGAAAACAGGGTGGGTTGGGGGTGGGGGGAGAGCAATTCCCTATTAATTCTCTAGGGGATTTTCAGCAAAGGGACTTATTTAATGAAAATGTTTGGACTGATAGGCCTCATTCAAATGGAATGTGATGGCTCAGACATGAGGACAAGAAGAATTTACGGCTGGGGCCAGATCCTTCACTGCTGAGTTTATCTTGCTTTAATAAATGCTGTCACGTCATATACACAATGGGCTGTTCCAGATCATAAGACTCACCCTCTGCACCTCCGCCACAGCAACACTCGCCTTGCTGTGTAAACCTGAGCAAACGGGCTCCTGCAACAACCAAGCCTCAAGTGGGAGGCTTATCTGGCTGCTGATGGTTCCCCTGGGAGGCCCTGAGGCCCGCTGCTGTCCCCTCCCCACAAATGCAGTTATAACTAAGCGGGTGAGGTTCTTCCCAGAAGCCACACCAGAATCAAATTCCCCATCAAACAGGAGTCCTTAACCCGGGGCGCTGGGAAGGTTGCAGATGCCCCCATGTGGGGATGGGCAGCCGGAAGGGCCCGCACCGAGACTCTCAAAGCTGCCCCCATCCTGGTCAAAGCATGAGCTCACGTTCCTCAAACATGTCCTTCAGTCGCTGGCTCTGGCTTTGTTCAAACAACCTCCTCCCTCCTGAAAGGGCTCCTGGAAATTCTACTCCACTGCATTCTCCCGGGAAGCTCTCCACTGAGAGTGAATTTCCAGGGAGTCTGGTCTTCCCTTTGCCCTTCCTCCATCTGCTCCCCTCCCTTCCCCGCTGCTTGTACCCTTCAAGGCCACCCTGCGTGGATTATACCAATGGACCCCCAAGCCCTCAGGCTTCTGGTTGGCTATCAGAATGGGAAGTGCTGGGATAGTGGGGGCTGGGGTGGGGGGGTCAGGGTCCCTATTCTCCAGCCCTACCTCTGTAGCATCACAGGGGGCTGACAGTTTGCCTCCCAGCAGAGGCACAGCACCTGTCCATTGACCGTGCCCACTCAGCTCTCTATCCAGGTGTCAGGTAACTGTCCCCCCTCGAGCCCTTCAGGCTCTCCTCCTCCCCGCCTGCACCTTTGGAAACAGTTTCTCTTCCCCTGCCTCTCCCGGGGACCCCGACAGACAGGCCCACTCTCCGGGCGCCCCTGTTGTCGCTGCCTGCTGGCCCTTACCCCATTCTTTCCACTCGGGCCTCCCACCATGGAAGCCACAGGGGAAAATACTCCCTCCTCCTCCCCGTGGGAGCCAGGGCACATACCTCGAACCCTGCCCACTGGATACCTGCAGAGGGACTTCTAGCCTTGAACAAGGAATGCAAATCAAAGAGCCTAAGAGACTGGCCTCCCCACGGCCACCACAGTGTCTGCCCACACAGCCCCGTCCTTCGGGACAACCCATCCCACCTTCTCCCTTTCTCAGCCTGCCCCTCTCATGCCATTCTTCTTCCCACCATTCCTTGCCAACTCCACGTACAGGGTGGGGGCCCCTGTGGGCTGTGCTGATTGGCTCTCTTCTCCCCCAAGATTCTCTTTTCGCTTTCTGTTTAAGAGTCAGTACTGAATGCCCCCCATAGGCCCAGCACTAGGTGAACAAAATAACCATGGGCCCTGGTCCCTCGAGCAGCTTCCATGCCAGGGGCAGGCTGGCGACAGCCACTACATCGGACAAGCCACCTGAGGGTATGCTTGGGAAGCAAAGCCGAGACACGACAAGAATATCTAATGAGGACCTGACCCTGACCGGGAAGGGTTCCCTGAGAAAGAACATCTGAATCGTGACCTAAACGATAAGTAAGCGTTAATCAGGGAAGAAGGCAGGGGAAGCAGAGGGCAGAGTATCTCTAGAGGCCCTGAAATGGCCCGGCTGTGCAGAAAGCCAGCCAGAAATCCCGTCTTGACGGTTCTTTTGGTCCAGGATAAGGATTTTGATCTTTTTCCCTAAATGCAATGGGAAGCTGCTAAGGAATTCTAAGCAGGGAAGGATTATGATCCTATCTTTTCTCTAAACCATCTTTGTGTTGCAGCCTGCAAGACAGGAGGTGCCTCGGGGGCCCCAGGGGAAAGGTGATGGGGTTTGAGTAGGTATATTGTCATGGAGATGGGGCATACAGTTCTGAGAGAGGTTTAGAAGGAAAAACCCATAGGACTTGGGGTCCCAGAGAGCTGCTCCACGTCCGTACCCCAGTTCCAGAACTGCTTTCAGCTCCTGCAGGGGTGTCTTCTAGATGCGGCTCCATAGTCTCAGTAGGGGTGTGCGGAGCTGGAGTCAAGGCTCCATGAGCCCCAGGAACCCGGATGGCTGCAGGGTCCCATAGTACTAGGCATCGCTCCTTGGACTTTGGATGGGGGGGTGGCAATCAGGGAAGCTCCTTGGAGGTTACTGTGGTTAGAATGGGATCAATGCCAAGGCGAGGCTGTGGCAGAAGGCAAAGGGTGAAGGTGGTGGGGGCCTTGCCCCGAAGGCTTTAGGTCCTGTAAGTGCAGCTGAGAGGTGCTGATGGTGTTTAGGGCAGGAGTGACAAAATCAGCGTTACTCTTTGGAAGGCTCACTCCCATACTAGAAAGGTATTTGCTCCTGCTAGCGTGTCCTCTGTCCTCAGTGGGATGCTGTACGTCTTCACAGGTGCCCGCCGCCAGGATTCGGGGGCGTGTGGTATACTTGTGGCCAGCAGAGGGCTCCCTCCCCTTGTCCGCCTCCCTCCGCGGCCAGCACCGCAAGTGAATTTAAAGCTCAGGAAGGAAGTAGGAAAAGGCTCTCCTCTTGAGAATCACTCCAGCCTCACCAAGACTGGAAAATAGATTCCAGTGTGTTACCGAAAGAAGCACGCACACACACACACTCAGTCAAAATGAGCAGCTCCCACGTTAGCCCAGTACCTTTGCAGCTGCAGGTAAAGGAACTGTTTGAGAGCAGTGAAATGACTTCTCTGAGGTTCACTTGACCTTGAAGTGCCAGAGCTAGGACTGGTATCTTAGATCCTCTGACCCCTTAGGCCAAGTGCCTGGAGGAGCCTCTCTCGGCATATTTACTCCTTTTATCCATCCTTCCATTCGGTACACGAGGAACACACGCCATAAGCTGGTTCCCTCATAACACTTTACAGTTTGCAAAGCCGATGTGATTATAACTTCTTTAAAGTAATCGTCTTTGCAGTCAGAGCTGAGCTTGAATCCCTTTTTCCAATTACCGACTGATCTTGGTCGAGCAGCTTCATTTTTCTGAGTATCCCTAAACATTAGAAATAAGAAGATATACCCTGATGAGAAGTCGTGATGATCTGAAAGAGAAAAATGGACAGCACCTGGCCTGGAGAAAGTGCCAACCATGCATTTCTCTCTCTGAAGCAGGTAAGACAGTGGTTCAAAGCTGAGCATCAGGGTAAAATACTCACGTCAGCCAGCAGATGGCAGTCTCCCCCGGCTTTAGGAGGGCACTCAATGAGGCGCTCCCAGCGATGTTTCAGGTGGCTGGAGACCCAGGCTCCTAGAAACCTCCAAGGAAACCTCCACCTTCACTCCAATCCCCTGCTCCATAAGAGGTTCAAATCCTGCCCACAGGCAGCAGGGCATGGCGGGCTGTCTCTTCTGTTCTTGTCTCCCCCTCGGCTGCACAAAACCTTACGTCAACAACCACAAACCCTCTTGCTTATCACCTCTTGCAAATGTACACCGGGGTGCGGGGAATAGGAATGTGGGGGGGCAGGGAAGCAAGGCTTCGGGCCCACATGTCCAGTCCCCACGCAGATTCTGCAGGACCACCACCCTTCTCCGGAACGTTCAACAGCTCCACTGTAGTGATGTCTCCTCACTAACTTACTTTCCATTATGAATCCCTTATTGTTGGGAGTGAAGGGCAAGCCCCCACAATTTCTACTGTCCTGTGCTGGTTCCTCTGGCTTGTCCCTGGCCCTTCAGCCTCAGGACTTCTCCTTTGTTACCGCTTAACGTTCCAGCACAGAGCAAGGCCCCTCTGGAAATGGGACCTACTTCCTATTATCATTGCTACTGTTTGGCTTTCTCTCCTCAAAAGCCTGGCTCAGACGGTGATCCTGCATCCCCAGCGCTTAGCTCCTTGAGTCAGTCTATACCCCCAAAGAGGTGTAGAGCGATCCTCTTAAAATGCTGAGTCACGTCATTTCATTCCGCTGTCCCAAACCCTCCAAGCTTGCCTTCTGGCTTAGAGCAAAGCCCGAGACGTGACAGTGGCCTTGGAAGCCCGGAGTGATCTATCTGTCCATCAATACTGCTCCGAACGCCAGCCCCGTTTCATGACGATCCAGGTGCGCCGCCCGCCGGCCGTTCTTCAAACCCAGCGCTCTCCGACTGCAGGGCCTTTCCCTGGAATGCTCTTGCACACGAGCACACACACACACAGGTACACACGCACACAGCCGGCTTTCTCACTTCCTTCAGGCAACTTCCCAATGCCGTCCGCTCCATGAGACTCTCCCTCAACACCCCACCTGAACACACACGCATGCCCTCCACATGTGCAAACGTCTGCATACGCACACAAGCCCCCCCATCCCCCGTACTCTTCTCTTTCTCCAGAGCTCATATTTCCACCTGACTCACTGCTCCTTTACTTACTTAGTTGTATGATTTCTAGAAATTAAGCTCCGTGACAATAGGGACTTTATATGTGTTTGCCCCCTGCTGTATCTCCAGCACCTCGCACAGAGCCCGTTCTGTGGTCTCCCGGTCCTTATGTGTCAACCGAATACATGACCAGACCTAGGAAGAGAGGCAAGCAGGCCGTATCCGCCTCACGTTATTTTCTGTTTAACTCATGGAGGGTCCGCTCTGTCCCCAGATCATCATTTTAAGAGGAAACAAACTCAGATAAGTGATTTTTCTCTAAGTTGTCATGCAACCAGTATGGATTCAAATCCAGTTCCTGCTCACCCACATCATTACCACAGTAGGTCAGAACCTGGCATGTGGTTTAAAGAAACAGCAGAGGAACTGCTCTATTGAGAGCCCCAGGCAGCAGCCTCTCCTGGGGAGGGACAGGCTAGGGGCTGAGGTTGTCTCACAGCCAAGGAGGGAGAAATCCAGCAGGATATTTAAATGGAAATCACCAAAAATATCAGGCATTTGAAAAGCAGAGCATCGTGCGTATCCAACCAAAGTTGCTTGTCCAGGAACTTTCCACACATGTGGTCCCTTGGAGGGTATCCTCTCAACTTTGGACAGAGGCTCTGCGCCCTCCTCGCCACCACCACACTGAGAACCATCATTTCACAGGGGTTGATGGGAAGTGTGTAAAATTAGCGACCTGTCGACCCTTTTATTTACATGAGTTTAAAGATTTACTGAAATAATAGGGAGAAAGAGACAGAGAGAAAAAGGGAGAGAGAGACAGAGATAGAGAGACAGAGACAGAAAGAGACAGAGACAGAGGCAGAGGCAGAGACAAAGACAGAGACAGAGTAGTTTTCCAGGGATGGTAGAAGCATCATAAACGAAATTCACCTAGTTGTGGGCTCAAGAGCTTCTCCAAAAACAAGTATCTCTATCTCCTGACAGTAAACGCCTTCTAAGCAGGGAGCAGAGGAGAGGGTGGAGCAGGCCCCAGGTGGGTGAGAGGGGTCTGGTCTACACAGTAGACCCAGCTCAGCAGAGGTTGAGGACCGCACTCCACCTGGATACCCTTCAGGGGAGCGTCAGAGTTTGGGTTTGAAAAAAATCTGTCTCCCCCCAAAAGCCCAGTCCTAAGGCAGCACTCTCAACTGAGTGCAGCACAGGGCTGGGTCCAGAGCAGGCTTTAAGCTGCACGAGAGCCTGGCTTGTTCTGCTGTGTCCAGCACCGCATCCGCAGCGCAAAGCGCGGGAGCATAGTAGCTGCGCAATCAAGACCTCTTTATTGAGATATCAACTCACAATAACTGCCTGCAAGTTCTTAGGAATGGCTCTCAGGTCACAACCAGGCCCAGGATGAAAGAGAGTTGCCCTCACTTAATAGATGTCTAATTCGTCTTATTCTATCCTTAGAATGGCGCTCACTTAGACAATCGGATTGTGAAGAGACTGAAAACACCATGTCTTTCAAGAGAAAACGTGGGATAATGAGCAGGGACATCTCCTTGGTCTCAGAATCTCTGCAGGCACGTCCTGGATGAGAGAAAGCAGACTCATCCTATTGGGTGACAGAAGGAAGAACTAGGGTCCCCTGGTGAAATCTACACGGGGACAAATGGGACCCAAGTAAGAAAAGAGCTTGTCGCGACCAAAACCATCCAGGGAACAGACAAGCCATCGGAGAAGCAGCAAGCTCCTGACCCTGGAGGGGTCCTAGGTCTTGAGGTTCACATATTCAATAAAGCAGCATTGTAAGGTCCCTTCCAGCCCCAAAATGGACTTATTCTCCCCTCTGGCTCAGTTAGTTGTCTCATCCAAGCTGTCGAAAAGCTTCTGCTCCCGGTTTTCAGCCTCCGGCCTGAGTCTCAAATGCAGCAAAAGGAATGCTCATTATGACAAAGTTAAGAGACCACAAAACACAGATTTATTGAAAGAAGGCAGCCCCTCGGGGAGACAGGAGATAAACACAGTATTCACTGTTCTCAAAGCCCTTCCTCTGGGGAACGCGCCGGGGAGGAGCCACACTTGCAAGTTGGCAAAACCCTAAATCTCCTAAAAATTCAAGGTTTAAAGAGTTTCTTGGAAGCAAGCTCCTTACAGAAAGAGAAACCTGCAGCTGCAACCATGACCCACTGCCGGAGAATCTCAGCGCCTCCTTGGCAGGGATATTGCCTGCAGGAGATTGCTGGGGGTCAGATTCCCCTTCCTAACTTCGCTTAGGAAGTTCCAGGAGGCTCGCGCAAAGCAGCAGTCTCTGGGAAGGAGATTTTAAGTGCAAACAGGGATCTCATGTTATCATTTGGCCCCCAATATCACTCCCGCTTAACCCTTTCTTCCCACTTAATCTAAATGCTGAGAGCATTCAAGGGGGATGTAAGTGACTTCATGTACATCGTATGATTCATGCGTTTCATGGTGAGGCTGGAGATTGATTATAACAAGACCACTAGACACGGAGGCGGGAGAGTGCCTCCCCAACCAGACTCTGGGTGTGCTGGAACCAGAATCAGCTCTTAGCCAGCTCTGGAGCTGCAGCCCCCCGGCAAGGAAGATAGCGCTATGCTAAATCGATGAATGAATCAATCAATTGATTGGTGGTTTCAATCTTTGGCTCTGCTACAGAACTAGTACTGTGACCTTGGTGGAGCTGTAGAACTTCTCAGAGCTTGAAATGTTTTCATCTATAAATCAGAAATGATAGTAACTACCTTGTATGGTTTCAATAAATGCCATGATGCGTATAACATGTCCCAGAAAACAAACTGAGGGTTGCAGAAGGGGAGGTGGGTGAGGGCGTGGGGGAGCCGGGTGATGGGCATTAAGGAGAGCACGTGATGTGATGAGCACTGGGTGTTATGCACAACTGATGAATCACTGAACACTACACCAGAAACTAATGAGGTACTATACGTTGGCTAATGGAATTTAAATAAAAAATAATAAAAGGTAAAATAAAATAAAGGAATAGAGTGTCCCAGAAAGCGTCTGGCATATAGTAGGTGCTCAGCAAAATCGCATGCCCCTTCTACTCCCTAGGACTCACCTTCACACAAAGGAAATAATCAGTAAACCTTTGCCTGGCTGATCAATACTTGGAACTAATATGAATGAACTCAGTTAATTGAGGAGGAGGCATAGACAGGTGAGGTCATGTGCCTTGGGTCAGGTGACTGCCCCATGGAAGAGTTTGGGGCAGAAGGAGAGAAGGAAATCCAAAATTAAGTGTATCTCTGCTAATTGGGAGAGAGAGCTGACACTCGCATTTGTCTTTCATTTTCACCATGATTTCCTCCTAGACATTCAGCGGCTAAAGGCAAAGTCCCCGAACCTTCCAGAGGATTCACAGAAGATTCACACCTTTAGCAGCTTCTCATTAGTAAAACTGAACATACAGACATGGTAAAGTGTACTCAAAGCCATTTATCCTTAGAGGACCACATAAGAAATTCTTACTGCATCTAGTCCCCCTCACTGCACCCAAGAATTTATTTCTGCAAATGAATGTGTATTTGACGCTGCAATCAGGAAGTGAAATGCATGTCACCCAATGTGTCCCCTCACTGCCTTAGCTGCCAGGACAGTAAGGGCAAACTCATTGCCCACTTACTCCAATCATCGTGGCTCAGGTCTGTGGCGAATCTATTCCTTCTAGTTTCTTCCACTGGTTTCTGTTCTCTTTTTTGTCCCAACGGTCTGATTTTGCTTTCTGTTTAATCCACACGTCTTTCTGAAAAAAACAAACAAACAAAAAAGGGTAAGCGAGAAGAATATCAAAGATATAAAATGGGACACAGATTCCCAATTTGGACTTTCCTAGTCTGAAAACAGTACCTGAAATGCCATGAAGTAAGTGATATCGGTGTACCCGTTACACAGAGGAGGAAACTGAGGCACAGGAAGGCTAGGGAACTTCAAAACCACACTGTTGTACTTTATTGAAGGTGATCAGAATGAAAATGGAACATTTAATTCAGAACCTCGTAATCTGGGAGCCAGGAAGACAGATGGAATCTAATGACTACACTACAGATCCTGGTGATGGAGTCAGCCCACACAGCGCCGGCACCAACGGTCATGATCAGGAGTAAATCCGATGTTCCTTCCACCTTTCACATTCCACTCTCAAGAGGGGCAGAACCTGACGGTAGAAACAAAGCAAGCCAAGAGGTTACTTATTGCTGTAACTGGGTTGGAAGGAAAAAAGACCCACTAAGGTAAAAGGGCAAACACCCTAATGTTTTCTCTGCCTGCAAGGCAGACACATCACTCCCCCGGCTCCCTCCGACCTAACGCCTCGCCCCCAGTGTGGAGAATGGAGACGGGGATGGTGAGGAGGGAAAACCTGCAGTCCCAGGTCCTGCCCACGGGCTGGAGGGTGACTCACACTGTGTGCAGCCCAGCCGGTCCTGCCGAGCTGGTCTCAGAGAGAAGTGGCTGCTCTCACCTGTGGCTTGGAAAACCGTGGTCCGCAGAAGTACTGCCCAGCCACTCCGTACTCCGGAGTCTCCAGAATACCAGGGGTCATGGCAGGCTGCACTGCCTTTGCACCAAACCCCAAAAAGAACCTCTTTCCAAGTCCCAGAATCCCATTGCCACCAGGGTTTTGGAGTGAGCGGCAGCCGGTGGAAATGCATCCTCGGGGGGGGTGTGCATGGAAGTCACCCCTTCTCCCAAACTTCAATGACGTCATCGACGTGGCCACCGCAGGAGTGGAACCCACATACACGGCAGCGCCCTTGAAATGGCCCAGCAGGACCAGGAGGGGAACCTCGTCCGTTCCCAGGAGAGTCTCCTGCCTGCCTGATGCTGTTTGCGGAAATCAAGGGACCTGCTGACTCCCCCGAAGTGCCCCCGTCTCGCGGCCTGGTTCGCTCGGCTCGTTGCCTGCCTTGCCTGCTGTGTCTGACCCCGACACCTTCGACCCCGACACCTGACAAGCAACCAAAGCTTTAGCACGCCTTCGGTGCCCGCTTCCTGGCCTGGCGTGGACATTTGACCCGCTTTCTCTGTAATGAGCCCCGCCCGGGTCCCGTACGGGTCTTGTTTGAACTGATCCCAACACCAGGACACATGCACGAGCTGGGAGGCTTTACGCTACACTGGCCAGGCTGCCAGAGAAGGTTCATGGAAAGAAACATATCATGGGGTCTTGGGAAGGAGGGACCACAGGGAGGCTCCTTCAGCTAGGAAGGTGACATTGGCACCTCGCCCTTCGGGATGGCACAGGGTGACTGTTAGTGCAAAAAGCCCGGGCATGGGAAACCTCTTGCTAAGGGACATGGCCTCAGCGGACATTCCAGGGCCTTCCCTGGTCCCTGACGTCAGCGCAGCTGCAGGCCACGGGCTCTCCTGCAAGCAAGCCTCTCAGCATCTCCCCTTCTCTGACTCGGGCCTTTCCTCAGAGCCTGGGAAGCCACTCCCATCTCACACAAGGACATTTTCCAAGTGGGAGGTGGGGCAGGCCTGGGGACCCTCCACCGAAGAAGGACAGGAATGAATGACCAGATGAATGCCCCAGGACCCTCTCCTTTCACAGAAGGACGCACGTTTGGCATGCCTTCTCACAGGGGCCCCAGCGGGACTAAGCCACAGTTGTCCACAGCGGGAACCGAGCAGCAAAGCCCACGTTGGCCATCCCTCCTCCCTGTCTCACCCTGCCCTCGCCCGCACTCCTGCATCCGGGGGTCATCTCCCAAGCTCTTGCCTCAGGCTCCGCTTTAGGCCTGATGGGCCGAGACAGAAACACATCATAGTTACAGTGAGAATCGGGAGTGCTGTATAAGATCATCTCAGTGAGGTTAGTATGAGCCAGAGGGTGAACAGGCCACGGAAAAGCTTTAGATTTCAGACTCCATTGTCTGCGCAGTCAAGATGGTGGAGCCTAGCCCGGGAATCCTGCCAACAGGCCTTGGGGTGGCAGTGGTGGCCGGGGATCTGGCCTCACCGGGGCTAGATGGAGTCTTTGGGCCTCCGCTAAGCCAGCGAAGATTCAGGGAAAGGATTGGGATGGGCAGGGACACTGACACAAAAGGCCGCTCACCAAAATGGGGCCACCGGGGAGGCCACGAGGTGAAGGTCTGATTCAACCCTTCTGCCAGTGCCCAGAACGCATCACTAGCACATTGGATTTGGCATGAAAATAACCGCAGCTTTCCTGAGTGCTGCCTATTTTCAACCTGCTAAGCAGTTTTCATAATGAGCTCATTTTGTTCTTAAAACAACCATATAAGTCATTCTCCCCATTTTATAGATGAGGAAAGTGAGCTCACTGGGCACTCGAACCAAGACTTGAATCCAAAGTTCTTGGATTCCAAATTGCAGGCCTCGGCCAACCAACTACCCTGCGGAGATCCAACGGTGCTGCAGTCCAGGCTCAAGGTCAACAACTGACCTTGCAGATGTAAGCTTGAGGACTGCAGGCTGGAGGAGCTGGGAGAGGCGTCAGAACGCACGCATAGCCTGGGTTCACCAGCATTGCCTGGGGAGAGATGCCCCCTGTGCCTCAGACTCATAGTGACAGTGACCGTGTCCTCTGTGGTCACACTGTAGCTGTCCTTCCATTCGTGTACAGCGTTTCTTAGGCATGTCACCTACTTTCAGGGCCCAAAGGGAAAGGACTCCAGGTTGAGGTGGGCAGAATGCTTAGTTTTCTGTCATTTAGAAAAGAACTTACAGCCATGCTTATCTCTACCGGCCACGCTCCCATTTATAAAACATATTCCACTCCTTTGAAATCACGATACCAAGGATGGGGAGAGCAGGCCATATGACTCCGATTCCAGAGAGGAGCAAACAGGATCAGAGACGTTGAGAGACAGGACAGTGTGGTAGAAATACCAGCCACTGGCCTCGGGTCAGGAATGCCTGCTCCAGCCAGAGCTCTGCCCCTGAGTGGCCTTGCCTCCCCCCTGGTTCCCTAGTCACCTTGGACACTGCCTTTGCAGGCTGTGTGTTGAAGAGGAAAGAGTCCAAAGGTGGAAGGAACCTGATTCCCTGAACAACCACACAGAGCAGAGATCAAATCCACCCGTGGCAGTGTTCCATGACGTGAGCAAGCAATGCATTTTTATAGCATTCTGCCAGGGAGCTCATGGAGACAGCAGTCAGCTAACCTTGGCTCATAGAGTCCCTCTGCGGTCAAGGCGGTTTTCTCCTCTGACCTCAGTCCGGTGGATTCAGCATCATTTGGAGCTTCCATCTGGTGCTTTCCAAGCTGGACTTCACTGACCGCACATTCTTTGGTTTACGTGATGTCTGTTCCTGGCCCCAGTCCTTGCCCAGTGCCCTTGAAATCAGCGAGGCAGCAGAGCTGAGCACCACCCAGGTCTCCTCCCTGGTGGAGAAGAGCCAGCCTCATCAGATAATCCAAAAGCCAGATCAAAGGGCACCAGACCCAGTCACAGAAAACCTGGTACTGACCTCAGCTGGATTTCTAATTTGCTATGGCACCTTGAGCACATTTCCTCAGTTTTTGGTCTCGCTTTCCCATCTGGAGAACTGTGGGGTTGCCCTCAGAGATACCAAAGCAACCGCTCACACTTCAGGATTCTAACATGTGCATTCAAGGCCCGAGAGAGAAAGATGGGGGTTAATTACTCAAAGCTGTGGGATAATTAATGACGGTGATTTCCCCAGACTCTAAGGGAACAAAGATTTTGTGGAAAAGGAGAGAATTGTTGAGGCAGATATCATGTTTGTGAAGGCAAAACATCAGACTCTTTCCATTATGAGCCCATCCCATTGTTTGAGAGGTAGCCAGAGGGAATGGAGAGGCCACAGGCTCTGATTTGGAAAGACCTTGTTTCAAATCTTGCCTTTACTCCTAATGACTGTGCGTTGGCAGGAGCTCACTTCTCCAAGTCTCCGTGTTATCACCGGTGAAGCGGCATTTCTCACAAAGTTGTGGTAATTAAATGAGACAGTGCAAGCAACAGACATTGTAAGCTGTGGCAGGGAGTTCCCTTTATCGTCATCATGCTAGGGCGAGGGGGAAGCTGGTTTGGGAAAGCAGGGGGAGGGATGGAAGCATTTCTTTCATTCATGCATCTAATCATTTCTCTCAACATGGCATGTCAGGCGCTGAGATGAATAAAACATAGCTTTTGACCTCAAGGAGTTCAACGTCTGGGTGGAAAGACAGATGCATACACAAGTTACTGATCCCCTAATGTGATAACTACCTCACACATGTATAAGAAAGCCAGCACCACCCCTTCTAGAACATGCCCTAGAGAGACATCCATGGGTGCCCATGGAAACATGTACAGAGAGGCCCACTGAAATTTTGGTTACAAATTTAAAAAGTAGAAAAAAAAATTAAATATCCATCAATAAAAGAGCAAATAAAATGCAGCACATAAATCAATACCATGGAGTCTCATTCAGATTGAGTGGAAAATGTAGTTATCAGATTATATATAATTTGGGCACCCTTTGGTTGGATTTTAAAACCACACACCAAATATTCTGTATTTTTCACAGATGTGTGCAATTGTATGTATAAAAGTTTTTTGTTTTTTTGTTTGTTTTTTTTTTAATGGACTAGAAGAATCCACATCAAACTCATGAACCTGGTAGCTTCTGGGGAAGGTAGGAAGGAAATGGGTCTAGGGGTAAAGGTCAAAGGGGACAGTAATTTCATCTGTAATGGTTTGCTCACATTAAAAAAAACAAAACTAGAAACAAATATGATAAACCTTAGCATTTATTTGTTGCTTTGGATAGTGTTAATACGTGTGATATTATTCTTTATACCTTTCTGTATTTTTTTAAATTTATCAAAATAAAAGTAACCAGAATATAGCAGTGGGTTATACTAAGCATGATGAAAATGTCCTTCCCTCAGTTAGTCTAAGCTGACCTCAGAGTAAGTCCACGCTAGAAGGGGGTGGCCAGGAGACAAGATCAAGCCTGGCAGGAGTTGGCCCGTGGTCGCAGAGGTTCATGGAGAGGGTCAGTTGATCATGGTGACACTGTTTGGGAGTCAGCATGAAACTCTGGTTTGGAGAAATGAAGAGCTGGTCCTCATGCCTGGATTTACCACTTACTGATATAACAAGGTCACAATTGTAATCACACATCAATTCTGAAATCTACTGCTGTCTCTCATGAAGCTAGTTCCTCATGCTAGCTAACAGGTATAAGGTGGACTTTAAATTCTATATAATTTATACTTCATTTCAGCCAATAGTTTAAGTAGACTCTTTAGGAACTTCTCAGTCTCTCTGGGGGAAACAGATCCAATCTCTAAGTCATGCTTCTCTGCCTGCCATCCCTCACTCCTCTCCAAGATGGCGCCTGGGCGTGGCTTATGCAACCTCACGATGGAAGGGCAACCCTGGGGCTGCAGGCACAAAGCCAGTTCAATGCTGGTTTCAGAAGCAACACCCTTGATCCACCTAAATGCAGACTGACCTCCTAGAGCTTGCATCTCCAGTCTGCAACCAGTGAAACTTGAGGTCTGCTGTGTGTGTGTGTGTGTGTGTGTGTGTGTGTGTGTGTGTGTGTGTGTCTGTGTCTCTTTCTGCTTGGGCAAAGTCTGGGTGCTCCCTGGCTAATTCAGGGCCACCTCCTCTAGACCTTTCTGAGGCCTGGCAGTGAATCCAATTCAGCTTTAGCCCACATGGTTTGTTATCTCTGCAGCCTTCTGTACAGAACTGGTTAGAAGGTCCTGATACAATGGACCTTCTAACTGGCACCCAGCTGTCTGCAGCACACGGGAACCAAAGGCAGCTGGAGAGGGCTAACCCTATAAGCCTCCCCGGGCCTCACAGGCACTACACTGCCATGATTATTTTGAGATGGCTGCCCTGATGGTATCATGTCCTGCAAGGTGGCTCTGCTGGGTAGCTCCCCAAGCAGAGAGTGGAAGCAAGAACGACCTTCTGTTCTGGATGTTTCTTTCATTTATCTAAAGTGCTTTTCTTTTCTTGGCCGAATACCCCCATAGGATGTTTCAGTCCCCTCTCCTTCCCTCCCAGTCTTCTTTCCATAAAACCCTTGGCTGCTGTGATGGTTAATTGTATGTGTCAATGTGGCTTGACCACAGTACTCAGATATTTGATCAAACAAATCCAGATGTTGCTGTGAAGGTACTTTTCAGATAAGATTAACATTTAGACTTTCATTGAAGCAGATTGCTCTCCATAATGTGGGTGAGCTGCATCTAATCAGGTGAAGGCCTTAAGGCAAAGACTGACCTCCCTCAGGGAAGAGGGAATTCTATCAGCAGACTACCTTCAGTCTCAAGCTTCAATGTCAACTCCTCCTTGAATCTCCAGCCTGCTGGTCATCCTTTTCTTCTCCATAAGGTCCAGTTTGCAAGGCTGTGGTCTTACTGAGGAGGTCAAGTACCTGTCCTCTGGGATAATGAACTTGAAGGAAGTAGGGGGTTGCAAGGAAACCATGGCTAAAGGGGAGAAATTTACCTTTGTTTTTATAAATTTTTATCGCCATTACAGTGTGTGATCTTGGACAAGTTTTTGGCATCTCTGAGCTTCTATCTGTCTCACAAAGTTGCTCAACTAATCAAGATATTATAATTAGTAGTAGTACTCAGTTTTGGAGATACATCCAGTCACAGTGTGAAGTTTAACAGAGATTGTGAGTGTCAGAGTTTGGGGCTTTGCAAGGGTGGAGGTCAGATAATGAAGTCCGTGTTCGCGGGCCACAGTTAGGGTTGTACGGAGCAGATCTGCATAAGCTATGTTCTAGATGTCCAATCATGGCTGAGTCATAAAATCCAGGTGGAGGGGAGAGCTGGAACTAGCAGGTGGTCAGCCATGACAGGCCCGGCGATTTGGGGGCGGTGGGACCACAGTTGACAGAGAGCAGTTACCAGCTACGTCTTCCCACAGCTCTTTGTCCCAACTGATGTGATCATAACAAGCTTGTCTTTGATTAAAAGCAACAGTAACAACAACAATCCATGCAGAAGCCAGACTTCACCTTCTGCCCTGCCAGGTAAGAAGCAAACCTTCTAGCAAATTCACCCTTGGAGTCCGAAAAGGACGGGAAATCCCCCTGGAAGCCCAGAAAGAACCGAGGCCAAACTCTGGACTTTTTCTGAGCAAACATTTTGAGAGAAACCAAAGTGATGATGATGTGGAAGAGCGTCCGGGGCTGTCCCCTCGAGCAGCCCAAGGCTGATGAAAACACAGGGATTAGTACAGATGAATCATTGCCAGTCCTCTCCCTGACAGCGTTTGCTAGGGGCAAGCCGATAAATACCGGATCTCCGAAAGCGCTGACAAGTTACCCACCAGGCCTGGGAGGTAGATGGCTTTTGAAATTGGTGGGAGGAGAAAGCGGGGAGTGAAGACACGGAGGCGTACCCCCCTTCCAGAATTCACGTTCTTCCTTTTGGTAAGATCATTTCCTACTCTTTCAGAAGTGTGGGTGATTCTAGAATCTAGATGAATGGTGCCCGTGATCCCAACCTTCCATTCTTCCAGTGTGGGTGAGAATTCATGGCCTTCTGTGACTCCTGTCCTTTGACAAGCAAAGAGGAGATGCTTGGAGGCAAGCTTCCTCGCTTTGGGTTAGTAACAGGGAGGGCAAACTAAAGGTCTTTGGAGCACAACTTCAGACAGAATCTAGGGTGACCCCGGCTTTAAAGGCAATATTCCCTTCGGTGTCTTGACCATGACAGTGGATACACAAATCTACACATGTGATAAAATGTGTAGAACACACACACACACACACAGATGAGTACAAGTAAAATCGGGGAAATCTAAATAACATCCGTGGTGGGGCGCCTGGGTGGCTCAGTCGTTAAGCGTCTGCCTTCAGCTCAGGTCATGATCTCAGGGTCCTGGGATCAAGCCCCGCATCAGGCTCCCTGCTCTGCAGGAAGCCTGCTTCTCCCTCTCCCACGCCCCCTGCTTGTGTTCCCTCTCTCGCTGTGTCTCTCTATGTCAAATAAATAAATAAAATATTAAAAAATAATAATAATAAATAAATAACATCCGTGGATTGTATCAATCTCAACATCTTGGTTTCAGTGGCCTATCATATTATAGCTTTGCAAAATATCACCACTGGGGGAAACTGGGTAGAGAGTACACAGAATCTCTGTATTATTTCTTTTAAGAAAAAAAAAAAAAACCGGTTTGGGGCGCCTGCGTGGCTCAGTCCATTAAATGTCTGACTCGGGCTCAGGTCATGATCTCAGGGTGCTGGGATCGAGTCCTGCATCTGGCTTCCTGCTGAGTGGGGAGTCTGCATCTCCCCTTCCCCCTGCCGCTCCCCCTGCCTGTGTGCGCTCTCTCTAGCTCTAAAATAAATAAATAAAAACTTAAAAAAAAAAGAACTTGGGGCGCCTG